GCTGTGTCAGGGCTGTGGTTTTTCAGACCATTCATAACTCAGTTTTAAAAATAATTCAAAACTCTTTTTGGAGATTGAATGTTTTATCAGCGACTCTTCCAAATTCAGATTCAAAGTCTCAAGCGTCTTCCCTCTCCTGTGTGGACAATCAAATAATATAAGATATGTGGTCCTAATATAATTATCTCTAGGCAGGTTTACTTGTGGAAATCAAGCACTTGGTACCCGTCACTTGTGCTTCCAAAGTATTTTGGGCACTCCATTTCCAAAATATGGTGGTGTCATCCATCCCACTTAAGTTAATTCCTATCACATACACATAAATGTTTATTGCCCACTTGTTTCCCCCCCCATGGCCCGCCTCCCTCCTAGCCTTTGAAGGTAGGATGCCAGCGAGGCGCCAACCGAAAATGGCAGATTTGACAAAATCTGTGAAGACACACATCAGGGCTGCCATTCTGCTTCTAGCTTTGTATCACATCTTGCCAGCCTGACATTAGTGGGAGGGGGGAGAGAGATTGGAATGTGGGTGGACAAAGACAAGGGGGGTTGGGATGAAGCCACGCCAGCCCTGACAATGAGTTGCACCCATCCAGCACAAGGTTAGCCAAAAGAATTGGGAGATGGAGAAGGCCGACAGGGTCCGTTTCCTAAACAATCTGAGAACTTCTAATTGGACATTGATTGATAACAGGAAGTGGCCAGGGAAAAAGGGAACTTAATTGCATCTTTTTCATGCCAAGCTTCTGCCTTGCTATGTCTGTAATCACAAAGAAAGACTCCTGGCTCGTTGTTTTTTCCAAGAGTATACTTTACTAAGAACAAAGTTGGCGTGGCTTCATCCCAACCCACCCCCTTGTCTTTGTCCACCCACATTCCAATCTCTCCCCTCCTCCCACCAATGTCAGGCTGGCAAGATGTGATGCAAAGTTAGAAGCAGAATGGCAGCCCTGATGTGTGTCTTCACAGATTTTGTCAAGTCTGCCATTTTCGGTTGGTGTCTCGCTGGCATCCTACCTTCAAAGGCTAGGAGGGAGGCGGGCCATGGGGGGGGGAAACAAGTGGGCAATAAACAAGTATGTGTATGTGATAGGTGTTATGGTTCCAGCTAATGAAACACTTCAAAGAACTTCCAGGCATTGATTTTCCTAAAAGTAATTTATTGTTACAAAATGTCGGCATAGGCATAACGGAAGGTTTTTGCTAAGATCTAAAATTCTCTTCCTCTGAGCAATTAATTTACCAGCATGTTCCCTCCCTAAATTTGCTGTCATATATCATGTTCTCATATCAAGTGGAAGGGCAGAGGTTCTCTTCCGGTCTCTTCCCGCGCAGTCCTATCTTTCTCTTCCCCCCCACCATTATCTGAATTAACTCTAAAAATACCAGACAGTTCTGCATATTTTGTCAAAGCAAGAATATACAATATTTGCAGCATTGACAATAGGAATTAGGAAGGGGGGGATGACAGCTTGACGAAGAACAGAAAAGCTCAGACCAGTTTGTGCTGGCACCCAAGGCCAGGCACCCTGAGAAAGAATGTGGATTACCCCAAGCATCTCAGTATTCTCAAAATACCCAGGCTGAAGATGGACTGGTCATGGGGGGAGGGCCGCACGGGAAACTTAGTTCTAGCCTGACTTTGCTGCAACCAGTATCCTTTAGTAAAAGAACCTTCAACCCAATAGAGCCGAGGGTCTTTCTTTCCTAAGGGACTTACCAGGGGCAAGTCTGACAGACTTACACCTTCCAAGGCTTGCCTTGGAACTGCAGAGCCCAGGGCAGCATGTTTTGGCCAGTGACATCGGACGAGAAGTTGCACCCTCTGTCCCGTACAAAGGCTACCGTTGGCCTTCATCTGTTGGCCCAAAGAACAGCCACCTCTGTTACTTCTACTGAGATTGCAAAGCTGCATTAAGACTAACTTTGTTCCTGGGGTGGCCAAGAGATTATGGTCTCCTGGGTGTCTGCATGAACGTGGACGAGCACACGCACGCATGGATGTCATGATATATTGTAAGTTTTCTTAATAATCATCCAGTTGAAAAGCAGACTGCAGCTCTTTTAAAAAACAGTGGGGTTTGCTTGGATTTTATTCATTTATTTATTTTGCACTAACGGGACAGCTAAACGCACATCCAGCCTGAATCTCACTCCATGGAGGGTGAAATATTTGCAGGCTTGGGCTGAGGAAAGCCTGGGTGGTCAGTTTAGTACAGGTGTTCCTCAGTTTATGACCACAATTGAGCCCAAAGTTTCTGTGGCTAAGCAACGGAAAGTGTGTTTTGTCCCATTTTACAACCTTTTTGCCAGAGTTGTTAAGTGAATCATTCGGTCATTAAGCAAATCTGGCTTCCCCCGTTGACTTTGTTGGATGGGAAGGTTGGAAGTGATGATCACATGACCCTGGGACTGTGGGGCTGCCATGAATGCATGCCAGTTGCCAGGCGCCTGGATTTTGACCACCTGACCATGGGGATGCCGCAGTCGTGGTAAGTGTGAAAATAGAATAGAACAGAATAGGGTTCTTTGTTGGCCGAGTGTGATTGGACACACAAGGAAGTAGTCTCTGGTGCAGAAGCTCTCAGCGTGCATATACTGGTCATAAGTCACTTTTTTCACTGCCCTCAAATATGTGAACAACCAGTTCTCTGTGTGGATGCCGCTTCCGGAAGTCCATTCTGGGCCTGGGCATCAAAGAATTAGCTACCAGTTCTGCGAACCAGCTGAATCCCACCACTGGTGCCATTGTAACTTCAAATGGTCACTAAACAAATGGTTGTAAGTCAAGGACTTGTTATTGTTGTTAGCTGCAAAGTCGTGTCCGACCCATCACAACCCCATGGACAACGTTCCTCCAGGCCTTCCTGTCCTCTACCATCTTCTGGAGTCCACTTAAGCTCACGCCTCCTGCTTCAGGGACTCCATCCAGCCACCTCCTTCTCTGTCGTCCCCTTCTTCTCTTGCCCTCCATCTTTCCCAGCATCAGGCTCTTCTCCAGGGAGTCCTTCCTTCTCATGAGGTGGCCAAAGTCCTTGAGTTTCAACTTCAGGATCTGGCCTTCTAAAGAGCAGTCGGGGTTGATCTCCTCTAGGACTGACCAGTTGGATCGCCTTGCAGTCCAGGGGACTCGCAGGAGTCTTCTCCAGCACCATGTACTTAAAAAAGTGCAACAGGCAGCTGGGTGGGAATCCCAATTCACTTTCTTCCTGTAGTATCCTAAACTTCTGGGCAACTGTGTGGGGTGGCAACAACCACTGAGAGGCTGAGCTGGGGACTCTTTCTCCAGAGCTGCCATAAGGGGCAACCCCGAACGTGAACAGTTGTTAGAAATTGGCTCTTCCAAAGAAACAAATGATAACGAAGGAATTCAACTCTCTGTTGCTTCCCACAGGGGTACTATGATAATCCAAAAATCTGTGCACTGTATGTCCTGGCAGGAACAGTGGATGGTGAGTAATTCCTTTTCCTCTTTGAACACCCAGGCGAAGGACAGCGATCCTGTCCAAAGGACAGCTCTAGGTCACCCGGCACTATCATAATTTAAGGAGCTGAAGGTGATATTGAACTCAATTGCTTAAAACATAGGATTTGGAAGGGCTTTAGTTCTGTCAAGCCTGGTCTGCAGCAGAGAAATAATGTTGTCTAAATGAAAAACCTGATTTTAAGAGACAGGTTTGGTCATTGTTATTTGTTTTTGAAGTCTCTGTTCTGAAAAAGAAAAGATAAAATAATGTCTTCATGTGGTCTGACTTCAGTGATAAGCTTAAGGGTTGAATTATTTTCATATTGCTACCAATAGTAATTATTGGTCTCTTCCCTCCACCCCCACCCCCTAGAGAGCAAACCTGGCACAAGTGTGGGCTGAGTGACAATACAATTCTGATAACAGTAACCGGAGTTGTCTTTCAATACGTTCAGGGTCCCCAGAAGATAGGAATTAGTCTGTCATGGTTCCGAAAGAAGAAGCTCTTCAAAGAACTTTGAGGCATTGTTTTACCTTCAAGAACCTTTAATTTGCAACGTCGCTTCCACACGTACATAGAGAAGCCAAAATCTGAATTCTCCTCCCCCAACACACAGACTCAAAGCATAACTCACTCCTTCATTCAACAGTCATTAATCACATTCTCCAATTAGTTTGAAGTGTGAACTTTCCCTCCCCTTATCTCCTCTTATTAAAACTAACCTTGAAGAATACCCTACTGAGATATTGTTATGGCTAACTAGTTGTCCCCCCCCCCAGCACATTCTTCCCCCTCCCCTCCAACACCATCTCTTTTAACTCTAAACGTAATACACAGGTTAAATAGGAAATGTCTGCATCTTTATATATTGTCAAGCAAGAACATCCGATGTTAGCAGCGTTGACATAGCCCCACACTGCTAAAAAAAAAGAAATAGCGTCGGAAATGGTTCTAGGAGGTTTTAAGGGTTTAAACATTAACTTTTCCTTTGTAGCTGCTACGTGTTGTTCTTCCTTTTGCCTGTGTTTCCGGCCAGTGGAAAGGTTTTTTTCTTCTTAGTACACTGTTTAGTCAACTAGGCTCAGCCAATGCAAGTCACCTAAGGAAGGGTTTTCCCACAGGAGTAAGGAAAATGTCTCAAGCCTTCTGGCTGAAGAGGTGGGTGTAACCCTGTATTCTCAGTCCAGTTGAGCAGAAAGGAACTCACCTTACCTGCAACAGTTTTACTAAGTTTCTCCAGCTGCGGTCAAGTCCTGCTGCAGGAGACAACAGTCTAGGCAATGCTGAGCCAGAGAACCTCTGGAGCAGGGAAGTTGGAGGTTGCCATCTGGAGGTCGTGGTGTCATTCCCAATTGGCTGAAATATTTTGGGTTGTAGAGGAGAGCACGTGGGCAGGGGTCTGGCTGCAGGTACTCTGGCTGTTCTGACCAGTGTCAGCCCACTTGCCTGTTGGGAACATCCACAGGAAATGGAAGGGAGTAGGGGCACATGGGGTCACGTTTCTCTATGCCCTAGGCTGCTGCCCCAGTCTTGCCTTCCAGAAAAAAAAATGGGGAGTTTGTAATGGGCTGAAAATGCTAACCTGTTGCATTTTATGGAGAGGCCAACATGTTCATGTGTAGCCTTGGTGTGATTCTACATTGGCCTGGATAAGGTTTTGTATGTGCAATAAGCATCTTACCTACAGCTTTGAATTGTAATGGTTTAGGGCAGGGGTAGGCAACCTTGGCTCTTTTATGACTCGTGGATTTCAACTCCCAGAATTCCTGAGCCAGCATAGCTGGCTCAGGAATTCTGGGAGTTGAAGTCCACGAGTCATAAAAGAGCCAAGGTTGCCTACCCCTGGTTTAGGGTTTAGGAAAATGCTCCTTGCCTCCCTGCAGTCTCTCTACTTTACACCATGGTGTAGACATTGTTTTTCTTCTTTCTACAGATGTTCCAAAGCTTCAGCCTCACCCAGGCCTGGAGAAGAAAGAGGAGGAGGAAGACGAAGAGGAGTACGAAGACGGGTCCAGCCCTAAAAAGCAGGCCAACAAGAACCGGGTCCAGTCAGGCCCCCGCACACCAAACCCCTATGCCTCGGACAACAGCAGCCTCATGTTCCCAATCTTAGTGGCCTTTGGCGTCTTCATTCCGACCCTATTCTGCCTTTGCAGGTTGTGAAAAAAGACAGCACGCACAGTGGCCTGCAAGCCAGGGAGGAGGAGTTGGGCCGAATGTGGAGTCAGTCCTGGCTTCTCCGTATTTAAGGAAAACAATGGCTTGTTAAGGAGCAGCAGGTACAATTAAGGGAGAGCTTGCATCCCCCTCAGCAGAACATTTGGGTCTTGGCCAGCTGTGGGCCGGCAACAGGCACCTTTCCTGTCCAGAAGGTCTTGAGGCAGAACCTGGATCTTTGGGACAGTGATTCCTGTGACGAGCAAGATGGAGTCAAAAGGGGCGGGAGGAGAGACACGCGATCCAAAGGTTGGCTGGAAAGGAAAGCGGCCACTGAGCAGCCTTGCTGGAAGGATTCACGGGTGTGGAGGTTGGGGGTTGGGTAGACATCCGCTAGAACATTTGTAGCTGAACACACGGTACTTCTTTTCTCCCCTGAATGAGGAGACTCACCTTTACGGATGGATCTTTGGTCAACATGCTTTTTGGTTATGGGGCAGGTGGAGCAGGTAATCTAGGTCACCTGCTCTGCCAGGCGTTCTGAGAAGATTTTACTTTCAGGCAAATGCTTTCCCTGGTCATGACAATTCTGGCAAGTCTTGAGTTGTCTTTGGAGCATTCCCCCTCATCCCCCTCCCCTGGTGTAACTTTAATCTAGTTTCTCTCCCCCATCCCATCCTCCCAAATGCGGCGATTCCCACTCTTAACTCCTCTTCCCATTCCACCTTAGGTGGCTAAAATCTGACTGGTAGAAGCTGGCACTCCAGTGGGCATGTCGGAAGCTTCCTTGTTGGCCTTCCATTTTTCTTGTGCCTGGAGACTTTTCCACAGTCCAAGGTGGTGTCTCCTTTTTTTCTGCTTAAGAGGTCCAGAGCTAGGAAATCTCAAAAGGTTTTTTTTTTGTCTCTGAGCTTCTTCGGTCATTACATTCTTTCAGGCTCAGCTACAAGGCCACTTTTGAAAGAGGTGCATGCTGGCCATTCCTTTCTCAGTTCTTTTTTGTGGGCACAGTCTGAAATGATGACCTTAAACGGTGCTTCCTGCCGTGGAGCACAGATTGTATTGTAGCGACGGGCAGGAGGGTTGCTTGAGAATCTATAACCTACAGAAACTGCTGTTGTTATCTTCCCTAAGTAGTTACTGGTATCTAAGGAATATTTCTCTCTCTGTCTCTTTTGATGTGGCTTTCTGGTTTTCCCTTGCTATAATTACATCGTGGAATCAGGGCAAAACAAAGGCAGAGCCAGACCTTTTCCTCAGTGGCCTTTGCGCACAGAGCAAGATGGCTGCACTTGTCAATCAGTCAGTTGATATTCAGCTCATGGTGCTTGAGCCCCGCTGCGCCCAGGATGTGCCGCCACATTTAACGTTTGTGTTCCTATCATCTTGTCCCGTTTTCCCAGTCCGTGTGCTTAATTTTAAGGCACTTGCCCAGTTTCCTTCCAGCTATAATCTCAACACAGGGAAATGACTGTTTGCTTTTTCTTTTCATACTGCTAGTAAACATATTAAACTTTAGTCAGCTGCTCTCTTTCTCCAGCTGGCTCAGAAAATCGTCTTCCTGACCAGATTTGGCTTCCTTTTGGACATCTCACCCCAAAGTAAATTCTTTTCTTTTTATTTATTTATATATATTTCTACTAGACGGTTATATGTCGCCCCCCCCTCCCCCAATTTATTAAGAATAAACCCCATTTGGCTGAAAATACTGGCAGGGATTTGCAAGAGTCCTGTCTGAAAGGTCCCCTTTTGCTCTTCCTGGTCATGGCTCTAAACTTTGTTCGATGGAAGTCCCCATTTTCACGGCTGCCGTTGGTGAAGTGACTTCTGGGGTTATGCCCTGTGAGATGCTTGATACCTGCTAGCAGAATATGGCGAAGGCAACAGCTAGGGAAATTTCACACCTGCATTATCTCACACACATTGCCCAGAAGTAATTTCACCAAGTTCTGTATTCTTTGAATTTCAACTTGGAAGAATTCGATTCGGAAGCGATTGAGGTTGCTGGTCCAGACAGATGAATCCGTTTTTCAAAGCAGACGGATGTCATGTGAGCTCAGGTACGTAGCCATGAGGCCAAGGGGCTGCTTTTATCTTGTTCATTTTTTGAATCCCTTAATCTTTAAATCAGTGTTTCTCAACCTTGACAATTTTAAGGCATGTGGACTTCAACTCCCAGAATTCCACAGCCAGCATTGCTGGCTGTGGAATTCTGGGAGTTGAAGTCCACATGCCTTAAAATTGTCAAGGTTGAGAAACACTGCTTTAAATGAAAGCCCTTGTAGCTGTTTATTTAGGGACTGACTTATATTGTGCAAGTGAACAGAGCATATAGGCTGCTTGCCTCACCCATACCCTAATTTGTCCCACTTGATTGTAAAACTGTGTTGTTTCCTCCACAAACAAATTGAAGATGGAGAAAGACCCAAGTGAGCTATTACAACCTCATTTCCATTCCCTTTTTTCTCCAGGGCCAGAGGAAGCTAACGGTTACTGATTACCTTCCTGAACAATTGTACTTGCTACAGTTATATTCTCCAATTCAGAGAGCTCAAAAATTCCTAAAGGAAGAGATGGTTTGTTTCTGCTATGGGTGGGTAGGGTTAACACAACTGAAATTCTGCATTTCTGGGTCTTGGGGTGTAAAAAGGGCAATTCACTTTATCATAAGAATGTTTGGCTCCAGTCATTCACTAATAAGAGCGGCTTTATCCCTGTTTTTTTTTTATCCAGAGAAAACGTGGCCCTAGTTTTCCCTTAGAATTTGAATACGTTGAGTGTGACAAGACATTCTAGTATTTTCTTTCTTAAAGGAAACTGCAGGAAAGTCAGCATTTGAATCTGCATTTGTTGCTTCTGCCTTTTAAACTTTTTGAGATATGAGTTGGCAGGCTTTGCATGTCAAGAGGTCTTTTTTTTATATTTATGGAACTTTGTTTTGTGGAAATCTTGCACGAGAAAGGCCCTGGAGCCCTTGCAGAAAGTGGAGAAGGTCACCTTTTACACTTCACTTCCTGCTCTGAGATACCCTTAACACCATGAGCATGTGTCAGGGCTCGGTCTTTCATTCCTCTGTACTCTGAAAATAATAACAGGTGATCTGTCAAGATCCTTGCAGAGTTGCCCTCCACAAGGCACATCTCAACATCAGAACAGAAGCTGTTCTCCTCTTCCTCCTCCTCCTCCTCCTCCTGTTCCACAGATTTTGCTTTTACAGCTCTCTGGTTGTGTTTGTGAGGGGCATCTACCCCTTTTTTAGGATCTGTAAAAATATTAAGACTGCTGTGATCTGCACAGTTTGATTCAGAGGGTTGGGGGTCAACGTGGCAACTTCATTTAGGGACTGTGGTCCTTGAGGCTCTTCTGCCTAAGCTGGAGATCTCTTGCTTGCAAGCAAATGGCAGTTTAAGCTTTGCCTGCCAGATGCCAAAAGGTGCTGAAGGTTCCTACCGCTGCCTGTTGTGAGAAGGGTCAGTGTTCTGGGTTCATTTATGCTGATGCACGCTTTAGTTACGTGGTTGGGCACAGTGGTATCCGGCTGCCTTTTTTCTTTTCTTTTTTTTTGAACTACAGTTACATCTTGCTTGCACAAATATAATGCCCTCTCCCTTAGCCAGTAGGGGGAATAAATGGCTGCTTTATAGTTCCTGAGGTCTCATCAGATACATGGTGTTGAGAAATGCTCCTATTTCACTCCAGCCATTTAGACGTTCAGAACACAGAAGAGGAAGCCCATGAATCAGATATCATCGATTAAATACCTTGAATAGCTTGAAAAGGCCATTTGAGCATCCTTGGGAAAGGTCTGCAGCTGCCTTTGGCTGGACGGTTGGGCGGGGGCTCATCAGTGAATCCCAAAGGTAAACCTCTGCTTGGAATTAATTGGGTATTCCGTTGGATGGTAGGCCAAGACCCGCTAATGACGTGTCCCATATAAGTTGGAAAGATCAGGTGTTGGAATTTGCTCAAAAGAAAGCCTAAGTAAACTGATAACGGTTGGGCCTCCCGGGCTGCAAAGCCAAAGGTAGAGTTGGGGCTGTCGCTGTGCAGAACTGTGTTTATCCTAAACGCCTTCAGGTCGCTAGAACAGACTAGGGGTAGGCAACCTTGGCTCTTTTATGACTCGTGGACTTCAACTCCCAGAATTCCTGAGCCAGCCAAGCTGGCTCAGGAATTCTGGGAGTTGAAGTCCATGAGTCATAAAAGAGCCGAGGTTGCCTACCCCATGCTAGACTGTAGCTTGCTTTGGAAAAGCCCCAAAGACGACAACAACGGTAAAAAATCTCTCTGCTGGGCCTCGGAATGCCGTCTTCCTTCAGGAGCTTAGCTGGTGGCACCCCATGCCTGCAAGCCCCTAATGCCTCTTTCTTCCAAGCAGAAGAGCCCAGGAAGGTAGTGAGAAGGGAGGTGTTCCTTTGGGCTGCCCCCCCCCCCCCGCCAAAGCTGTGCTCGATGGGGATCTGAGAATGGTGCTTAGCTTCCAAGTTGTTTGACCAGGGCTGTGTGTGTCCTTGGCTTGGTTTCTTGAACCTAAGAGATCACTCCCTGGTTAAACGTGTGGGAAATTATTTGGGGTGCCTTTGGGAGTGCCTTGAAAGATGTTTGAATTCCCCCAGGGAAAGGGCCTGACCTTTTTCCTCTCTCTCTCTTAAACTTCACTTCCTAAGCAAATAGGAGTCAGGTCACCCAATCACGATCAAAGTTTTAAGTGGAGATAATCCTTGTTATTACTTAACAAGGCAGATGCAGGTTTTGAGGGCTGCAGTCTCAGCTATCAGAAGATTGAGGCCCCACCCTTTATTGTACTGTTGTGTATGTTTATCTTTTCTATTTGTGTCCCTGCTTGCTAGAGAGGCATTGACGTGGCCTCCCAGGACAGCCTACGCTGCCAGGTTACAAGCTTCCTGGGCTGGGTGGAATCTGTCCTTAGGCTGGTTTGCCATTCATAACTTTAAAACTCAATACATAATCCTGAAGCAGGGTGGTGTGTGCAAGTCCTTTACTTTTGTGTCTTTAATATTTTGCATTGGTTCTTTTTGTTAATTGGGATGTGTGTAGGTGTGCATTTAATATTGAGCTTGGGCAAAGGGTAAAAAGCACATAGGACTTTTGTCTAACTACATTGGCTTTGCAAAAAAAATTTTTTTCCTGGGGAAGTGAAATAGGTATGAATGAGTTCTGCATTAATTATTCCCTCCACCCCATTTTTGGTACATTTACTTGTTTGTTTGTTTTTTTAAAAACAATAAATTTTGTTGGGTTTCTTTTTTTTCCTCTCAGGATGTCTGGTTGAGGGAAATATTCTGAAATCTACTGCCTGGCAGTTTTAACCAGCAGTGTGTTAAAAAAAATAAAAATTATATTGTCACTTACACGAACCTGTGTTTTTATTTTTTAAGTGGAAAGATGAAGGTCTCAGTTTGAAACTCTTTAACTCATACCTAAGTTAAAATCCTGGAACCACAACAAAGAGTCCTTCCCAAGCGGGCAGTTATAGCGTTGCCTCCATTGCTTGCTCTTACAAGTGCAAAAAACAGGGTGAATGGTTTAAAACGGGGGTCTTCGAACTTGGCCCTTTGATGACTTGTGGACTTCAACTCCCAGAATTCTTCAGCCAGCATGGCTGGCTGAGGAATTCTGGGAGTTGAAGTCCACAAGCCATAAAAGAGCCAAGTGTGAAGACCCCTGGTTTAAAAAAAAAAAATATTCTGGCAGGACGTGTTTTAACTCATGCAGCTTTGCCTTCTGCGAAATTCTCTGATCGGACCCACTTAGGACAGTCTCAGGCTCGTCAACGTTTAACCTGTGCGGACTTCAACTCCCAGAATGCCCCAGCCACCGTTCGGGTCGGGAACCCGGGGAGTCGAAGGCCACTCAGAAGATCCCCAGAGGCTCTAGGTCGCAGCGGTCCCTGGAGGCAGCAGGGCTGGTTTCTCCAGGAGGCACTTCAGAGCAACACTGCTCCAAGCACGGGGGTAGGCAACCTGGGCTCTTTTAGGACTCGTGGACTTCAACTCCCAGAATTCCTGAGCCAGCCATGCTGAGGGGAAAGGGAGAGGTTTCCAAGCTGAGCCATGCTGGCTCAGGAATTCTGGGAGTTGAAGTGCACCAGTCATAAAAGAGCCAAGGTTGCCTACCCGTGGCCTAGGCCGCTTTATGACTCATGGACTTCAACTCCCAGAATTCCTGAGCCCGCATGGGGGAAACTTTGGCCCCTTCATGGCTTGTGGACTTCAACTCCCAGAATTCCTGAGCCAGCCATGCTGAGGGGAAAGGAAGAGACTTCCAAGCTGAGCCATGCTGGAATTCTGGGAGTTGAAGTCCACCAGTCATAAAAGAGCCAAGGTTGCCTACCCCTGTCCAAGCCGGATGTTGCCCGCCCGAGGCGCTCCGCGGCCACGCCCCTTCCTCCCGCGGGAGACGCAACGGGCGCGGGGCGGCCGGGCTCCGCGCGAGAAAGGGGGCGTGGCCGGAAACAGCGACGGCGCGTGTCCACGTGCCCGCCCTCCAGTTTCTGGGGGTAGCGCCCTCTCGTTGCTAGGCCGCGCGCCCCGCCCCTCGGCTGCCATGGCGACCGGCGGGTCCGAGGGAGAGGAGGTGGCGGCCATCTTGGCGGCGGCGGCGGCGGGGCCGGGCCGGCGATGAGCGGCTCCAAGCCCAGGTTGGCGGCGGCCGGGCCCGGCGGGGCGTTGAGCCGCCTGCGCGGGCAGAGGAGCTCCGGGACGGCCTCTCCCGCCGCGGCGCCACCGCCGTCCCGGGCCGCCCCGCCGCGGACGGAGGCGGAGCTGCTGGCGCTGGAGGCGGTGCGGCCCGAGCACGTCCTGGGACTGGGCCGCGTCACGGAGCGTGAGTAGCCGCCCTCCGCCCGGAGCGTCCCGGGGCCCTGGGGGCGGCGAAGGGTCGGCGTTACAGTCCGTCGGGGCGCCCTCCGGGCGTGAAGGCAGGCGGGGCCTTCGGGCGTTGGTCTCCGCCGAGAAACGGGGGGAGGGGCCCTTCTGCACGAGCGCCCCGCCCCTTTCCTCTAACAAGCTGCCCCCCCCCTCGCCTCCCCCTTCGCGATCTGTGGGGAAAAATGGAGGCTGCCCCGAGTCTCGCACTCAGGCCCGGCGCCCTCCCCGGCCTTGGCCCCTTTAAGGCTTGTGGACTTCAACTCCCAGAATTCCCCAGCCAGCATAGCTGGCTGGGGAATTCTGGGAGTTGAAGTCCACAAGCCTTAAAGGGGGCCCAGGTTGGATACTTCTGCCCCACATCTTTCAGGGAAAGGTGGTTTCGACCTTGGTGAGTTCCCTTTGACCCCTGACCTGGTCTGGGAATTCTGGGAGTTGAAGTCCACAAGCCTTAAAGAGGGGCCAGGTTGAAGACCCCTGCTCTAGCCACAGCCTGGAGACTGAGGGTCCCTCACAGTGGTGTCATTTAAGATTGAGTTTGGCAGCATTGCTTGCTTGCTTTTCCTGCACAACGGGGGCAATGCCAGCAACACCACCAGTCAGGGCAGCCACCACACTAAGGCTACTAACCGAAGGATGCTGCCCGCCATTGTCTTCCACTTCAGCTGGATCTTGCTCAACTTCAGGTCTGTTCCAGCACTCCTGGCCTTTTCATGATGTAAATTAGAATAGAGCAGAGCTGGAAGGGACCTTGGAGGTCTTCTAGTCCAGCCCCCTGCTCAAGCAGGAGAACCTATATCATCTCAGACAAGGGGCTGTCTAGCCTCTTCTTAAAAATCTCCAGTGATGGAGTGCCCACGATTTCTGTTCCACTGGTTAATTGTCCTCACTGTTAGGAAGTTTCTCCTTAATTCCAGGTTGCTTCTCTCTTTGGTCAGTTTCCAACCATTGTTTCTTGTCCTGCCCTCTGGTGCTTTGGTGGATAATGTGACCCCCTCTTCTTTGTGGCAGCCCCTCAAATACTGGAATACTGCTATCATGTCTCCCCTATTTCTTCTTTTCTTTAGACTAGCCAAACCCAATTCCTGCAGCCGTTCTTTGTATCTTTTAATCTCCAGGCCTTGGATCATCTTAGTTGCTCTTCTCTGAACTTTTTCCAAAGTCCCAATAGGCAATCTGCTGTTGCATTAGCACAAACTTGTCAATTCCAGGGAACTGATCATGGGACAACTAGAGAGTAGTGGCATCCATTGTCCATTGCGGCTTTGGTTAGTATCTCTTTTTTCCCATTGCTTAGTGTTACACCAAAGGCATTGTGTTTTTTTTTCTTTTCATTTTGCTACTCATTCCGATTCCTGGATCTATTTTGGCAATCATAATGAGCCAAAAATAGTTGAGCTCTAAAAGGGGGAGGGGGTAAAACTTCCTTCAGTCAATACACTGTTGCATTTGTTCCCATCAGATTCAAGGTACATGACCTGCTGCTAATCAGGGGGCCATATGTAGTTCTGTTCGCCAACACAATGGCATCAAAGTCTGCCTTGCCAATAGTCGTCATCTTCAAACATTTGGACTCCTTGTGCACATCCGAAACAAAGGTTTTCAAATTCCATGAGAGAGAGGCAGATTATGGTATGGCATAGGTGTTGCACGGGATGCCACTGGCATCTCCATCTTGCGTTCAGTCTGCTTCATCAGAAGGATCTTGAGGTATACCAGGGGTGGTATAACCTGTGCCCTGAAACCAAGACAGCTGAATGAGCATAACCCAACCATTCATCACCTCAGTGCACTGGAAGCGGCATCTGCGTCAGCCTTTCGACTTAGCAGGAGGGACCGCTTGATTCTGTACACAACCTTTGTGTAGTGTTTGCAGAAGCTGAAAAGGTGTCTCAACGAGGCCATGGAAGACAATGTGATGACCAGCTGTCTTCAGGCTTTGAAGGAGAAGTGTGCAGCCTGGCCACAGCAATTGTACCTTTTTTCTGGCACACGTTGAAACCTTACACCTTTAAGAAGTCATTGCCATAAGTCTACGTTTCATCACTGTGGCCTCTTTGGGATTTGTAATATTTTTGATCCCCGCTTTATTCACAAGATTGAACACGAAAGGGATGGGGTTCTTAATGAGCACCGGGAACCGTTGCTGCTGCATAATGCTTCATTGCTGGTTGACGTAAAACAAGCAGGTAGACAGCTGCATGAAGACTCCCTGGTTTTGCATGTCAGTCTGGATTGCCAACATTAGAGGGGCTGCCACAAAGAAGAGGTCAGTCTATTCTCAAGAGCACCTGAAGGCAAGACAAGAAGGAATGGGTGGAAACTAATCGAGGAGAGAAATTTCCTGACAGCAAGAACAATCAGTGGAACAGCTTGCCTCCAGAAGCTCTGGGTACTCCATCGCTGGAGGTTGTTAAGAAGACACTGGACAACCATTTGTCTGAAATGGTATAGAGCAGGGGTAGGCAACCTTGGCTCTTTTATGACTCGTGGACTTCAACTCCCAGAATTCCTGAGCCAGCATAGCTGGCTCAGGAATTCTGGGAGTTGAAGTCCACGAGTCATAAAAGAGCCAAGGTTGCCTACCCCTGGTATAGGGTCTCCTGCTTAAGCAGAGGGTTGGACTAGAAGACCTCCAAGGTCCCTTCCAACTCCTTTATTCTGTTGTTCTGTCTTGCTGGTGTTGATGGCAACGAGGTTCTGACTACCACCCCCCCAGCAATGTCTAACATACCGGTATTACTTCCTACGGTAGCCACCAGAATATCATCTTGCAATGTGATGTCACCAACAAGGAGCCTGGTTGAATTGCTAGGGGGACCCCTACAGGATTGTGCCCAGTACGGAAATGTTATTAAATGGACAATTTGGCTGAGTAGCAATTTCTCTTGCCTCCCCTGCCGGAACAGCGTTTTAAATTCAATTCCATGATATGATTTTATTCGTATCGGATGTCAAGACTGCTAACATCGGATGTTCTTGCTTGCCCTATGTGAAGAAGCAAACATGTTTTATTTAGCCTGCATATCACTTCTAGAGTTAAAGCAGACAATACTAGCCTAGTAGATGGGAAATCATTCTAGTAAACCATAACAATATTTCAGCACAGTACTGCCAAGGTCAGCTGTAACAGGAGAAGTAGGGGGGGAGAGACAATTCACACTTCACATTAATTGGAGAACGTGATTGATGACTGTAAAATGAAGGAGTGAGTTATGCTTTCTTACGGGTGATTGGGGGTGGGAGGATTCAGTTTTGGGCTTCACTATGTACGTTTGGAAGCTATGTAGCAATAAAAGGATTCTTTAAGGGAAATAAGCCTCAAAGTTCTTTGAGAAGCTCCTTCTTTTCAGAACCGTGACATCGGGTGTCACCAATCCAGCAGCAACAGAGCTGAGCTCAGCCACTCCAACCGGTTTAAGCGCACGAGAGACTTTGGAAGTACCTTTGTGACAACTGCCACAACACAGTTTCACTGTTAATCATTGTGGCTCTTTTGAATAGTCTCCAATCTGAGATGTGAGAGACTCTAAGCCAGTGTTTCTCAACCTTGACAATGTTAAGGCATGTGGACTTCAACTCCCAGAATTCCACAGCCAGCTTTGCTGGCTGTGGAATTCTGGGAGTTGAAGTCCACATGCCTTAACATTGTCAAGGTTGAGAAACACTGCAGTCTAAGCCTTTTAGTTGTTCAGAGGGCCGTGAAGGCCTGGCTCTTCTCCCAGCATTAGGCTAGGATTGGGGTTGAGCTGGGGGATTGTTTGGTCAGATGCTGGGGGGAGGGAGAGACTTCTGTTTTTACATTTGGTTTTATGGATTGCCTAAAAACACTGCATAAGATAGGTGGTCATACAAGCCCTGCAAATAAATAAATAAATAAATAAAATTGGAAAAGAAAGATATTCATTGGATCCTTCCTAAACAGTAGCTATTGTTTAGGAAGGATCCAATGACTATGTCAGTTGACAAGACCCGCTGGGAGGCTGCTGGCCAGGCTTTCGTGGTATCGTAAAGGCAGAGCTTGTGTGTTCAAGACCACAATTGGAACCAGGACGTCAATTGCTAAGTGGGCTGTCCCTGATTTTATGACCTTTCTTTGCCATGGTCATTAAGTAAATTAATTACATGGTTATGACCATGGGGACACTTCAACAGTCCTAAGTGCAAGGACCAGTCGTAGCTCACTTTCTTCCAGGTCTATTGCAAGTTCGAATGGTCGTTAAACCAAGGATCGTAAATCTGAATAGTAGATAGATTTATCTGGTACGAAGGGCTCCTGATCTTTACAAAGGCACAAGGCATGAAAATATTTGTCCTGACTTTTATGTAATGAATTTGGCTTACATGTCCTCTGTTTTACTATTTCCCTCTTTTTTCTTCCACTACAAGGCTGCTGCAAAAAAAAGTCAGATAAAGTAGATTATGATCTACAATTCTTTGTACTTAAAATTAGGCCTTTTTTGTCCTGACATGAGCTAGGTTGCACTTACTTAGATTTAGGTAGACTAATTCCCTCTTTAGGTGTTAATTCCCTCTTGACCAGTTGCAACAGTTGTAATTTCTCCCGTCTTAATGATTGATTTAATGATTGATTGATTTATTATATTTATACCCCGCCCTTCTCCCGGAGGACTCAGGGCAGCTTACAGCCAGTTTAAAAACAGTTTGATACAAATACAAAATACAAAATTTAAGAGGATAATTAAAAATAAATATTTGAATAGGCCGCTTCTACTAAAATTTTGTTAAAACCAATTAAAATACCCCTAGGCCAGTCCTGCCCGCTGAAATAACCAAGTCTTGAGGGCGCGGCGGAAGGAGGGGAGATCCGGAATCACCCGGATCTCTGGGGGCAGCTCGTTCCAGAGGGTGGGTGCTCCGACAGAGAAGGCTCTCTAGCTAAATCATTTGGTGCCATTAACAAGCTTGATAATTACATTGCTCAGTTCTAAATCCAAAATTTTTTTTGGGGGGGGGGGGAGTGGAATCCCTGCTGCGGTGCTTGCGTGTCTCCGTGTCTTGCATGCTTCCACAGATTCTTCTCTCTCGGCCACGGAGTTTGCCCAGGCGTCTTGGGGGGAGACTTCCTACTATTGTCTGCTGTGGCTGGGAACGGGCCTACTTGCCCTGCGTGCCAAGGCCCTTTTGCTGGGCGGGGCCAGGCTGCCTCCGCATTGCTAGCCGAATCTTCAGGATTGAATTTCAGCATCGCTCCTGTCTTCCTCTCTTCCAGATTACCTTTGCCGACCCGAAGACAACATCTACAACATCGACTTCACCAAGTTTAAAATCCGGGACCTGGAGACGGGGACGGTGCTGTTTGAAATCGCCAAGCCTTCAACGTTAGGTAAGCTTTTGGAGTCAAGTGACGGGGTCTGTTCTGAAGCACAAGGCCCAACGACCAGTTAAAAACTCCAGGAAGGATGTTTTGCTTCCAACTGCAGTTAGAAGGTGGAATCTCCAAATCTGTGCTTCCTCTTACTCTGCCACCCCTCTTGAGATGATCTGTTTCCTTGGGTGGGTTTCTCTGGGAGACCCTTCTGTTTCAACAGGGGTTCCGTCTGTTATTCCAGGTGCCACAAAGGCGTCTGTCCGAACACTTCACCCACCTAAGCCAAGTCAAGTATGGTTAGTTGGCTCGGTCCAGCAAGGCTGCCTCAGAACTTCTGTCTCAGTTGCTGGTTCTGCAGTTCCCGCTCCTGACCTGGGTTCTGGCTGTATTGCAGAGGCAGCCGCAAAAGCTGAGACCTGGAAGTGCGGGCTGTGGCCCCACTTCCAGGAGGGCCGGCCAGTGAGAGGCCCCACACAGCTGACCTGCTGAACTCTTTAACTGTTCATTCCCGCAGAGCAAGAGGACTACGAATGTGACCTTGGGGAGATGGACAGCAGCGCCGGGCGCTTTGTGCGCTATCAGTTCACGCCGGCCTTCCTGCGCCTACGGACCGTTGGGGCAACGTGAGTCTGGGCAGACGCTCGGGGGACGGGAGAGACCCCGGTGCTGCTGTGGCTGCTCAGTACCAGCCACAGACAGAAGCGCAGTCAGGCTTGGTGAAAAGCACGTTCAGCACTTCTCAAGGAGCACTTGAAAAAAGAAAGAAATTTTCAAAATCCAAGTCTGTAATTTTGCAGTTTGTACAAATCAAAAGAAAAAAAATATCTGTTGCTTGATGCAGATCTGCTGTGTTTATTCTTTTTTTAAAAAAATTCATTCCACTAATTTGAATTCTTAGTTGAACTGCACCAGAATGCCTGGTCCCTAGGCCAGCATTTCTTTACAACCAGGGGAGAAACCCTGGTTATGATGCCTGCGTGTTCCTGTCGGCTGAGAGCTGGGCCCTTTGAGGGGGCTTGTGCTGCCTCAACAGCTTCAGGGCCATCTCTAGGGCAGAACTCCGGAGTTGCCCTTCCGGACAGGTTAGAGGAGGCCAGCTGGATTTATCCTGCCCTTTTCCCTCCCTGCAGGGTGGAGTTCACCGTGGGAGACAAGCCCGTATCCAACTTCCGTATGATCGAGAGGCATTACTTCAGAGACCGTCTTCTGAAGAACTTCGACTTTGACTTCGGCTTCTGCATCCCCTGCAGCAGGAACACCTGTGAGCACATATACGAGTTCCCTCAGCTTTCAGAGGACCTCAGTGAGTACCGCTTGGGCCTGGTCGGGTGAACCGTCCACGGATGGGAGGCGTTGAACCAGGGGGTGAATCCCAGGGCCCAAGCAGGGACTCCCTGTGAGCACCGGATTCCTCAGCAGCAGTTAGGAAGTTCTGCCCTTTTGAGGGTTCTTCCACAGCACTCTGCTTCGGTGCCATTATTGACCCCCCCCTGTCAATGTTTTGAGGGAGACAAGATAAACAGTCGTACTTTAATTTCTCTGAAACCCACAGATCCCCTCACTGTCTCCTGCCCCCCAAAGCTTTTCAGGCTGCTTTGTGGAGCGGTCGCTGTGTGCACTGCAGAGGCGGCGTCAGTGGCCTTCTCTGCAGGCTGTTTCTGGGCTGTGGCTGACCATCCTCCCCCTCTTTTGCCCATGCAGTACACTTGATGGTCGAGAACCCCTACGAGACTCGCTCAGACAGCTTCTACTTTGTGGACAACAAGCTGATCATGCACAACAAGGCCGATTACGCCTACAACGGCGGGCAGTAGCCATTCCGTTACCACCTACGGACGTTGCACAGGCCAGAGGCAGCCCTGGTCCTTCTCCTTCTTCCCACAAGGCTGAAGAAGCAACATGCAAAGCGGGGGGGTCGTCTCTTCTGGGACAGTAAAGGAATTCTCTGGGCCGCCGATTCCTTGCTCCATCGTGATTGGCTTCCATTGGCATCCTGGTCTGGTGACGAGCCCAGCAGCGGCCCTTCCAATGGACCAAGCTTGGCTAGAATCCCCTCCCTAACACATCCTGCAGCCCAGAGAGCTGGGCAGGTGCCAGCTGCTCCTGCTGCCTCCGGGTCTGCTTTGCACCTGAGCTGATGTTCCTGTTCATCGAGGTTGCTTCTCTATCTCTGAGGTCGGAGGTGCCTGCAGAAGGCTCCTGGGGGAGGGAGGGAGGGAGGGGGGAGGGCAGGACTTTGCAGTGTTTTATTCTGGGCCTGTTAGAGCAACCGCAATCCCTAAAGGTCTGATCTGTAGGGTGAAAATTAGTGGTGCCCTCCAGCCAGAGGAGCAGAAGGGGACCCCCTGGCTTCTCCTAGCAGCTCTCCCTGGGGAGGTGGGGGCCATCCTAGTCTTTCTCTTCCCCTCCCCACCTCTCAACGTTGCCTCGCTTCTGGTGAATAGGCTGCAGGTGAGAATTGACTCGGCTACATCTGGCTGGCTTCTCTGGCAAGCAGCTATAGATGCTGCTTTGGCAGAAGGGCTGGAGCCTCTCTGGAGGGATCTGGGGTCCCCCCCCCCATGGCAGTCAGTCTCCAAAGGGGGGGCTCCAGGGGGCAACGGAATAGTCCCAAAAGAGCAATGCTTAAACCTCTTAGTTGGGAGGAGCTTCAGGTGCAGGATTCAGTTCCGTTGTTTTTTTTTTTTAAGGATAGATTCTCGTGGTCGTCTGGGGAAGGGCCGGTGGTGGGAATGGTGGGTTGACGCTTCCCGGGCTATCTCTGGCAAAGTGCCTTTCTCCAAGGGCTTTCTTTTCCCGATCCCTCGCGGTTAAATCCAGGTGCCTTTGGAACTACCCTCTGCTGCACGGAGTCCCCAGGCAGCTCCTCCGACCTGGAAGCCTCGGAAGGGCTGACCCCGAAGCAGGGGCCCTTTGCAATAACCCATTCCCCCTGCCCATCCCCCCCCCAGCAGCTTTTCCTCTGTGCCTTCCTTGCCACTGACTGCCCAGCAAGAAGCGGGAAACGGCGTGTGTGTGCGCGCGTGGGGGGAAAAACGGGGCGCTTCACCGGGCAAGAGGGAATTGCCAGCCGCCAAAGTGCAGGATCCAAAGTCCCCCTCTGGTGCCCTCGGCTCCTCCAGGAGCTGCCTCTGCGCCTCCCTGCAGTTCTCTCCCTGAGCTGTTCTGCTCTGCCAGGGCCATCTTTCTGCCACTCTCGTTGGGCATGCAGGGGTCAGTTTGGGTGGGTGGGTGTTTCTGCCATGCTGACTAAAGAGGCGTGCAAAGAGTGGGGAAAGCAGGATGTGATCAGAAATCCAGGCCGGAGCCCTGCAGGGGGACTGGGGACCTGGGTCAGCGGGTGGCTTCTAAACCTGCCCCCTGGCTGGAAAAACGGGCATGAAATTGAGGTGGTGCCGTTTCCTCCTTTTCAGCTCAGGAGAAAAGCAAAAGAGGGGCTCCCCTCTCTGGGGAGACCCGCCTGCCCTCAGCATCAGCAGCGGCCTCAGCCACCTTCTTGGCCACTGGTAGCCATCCTGCCTGGAGCATGCCCCACCTTGGGTGCTGCCGAGGGGCAGCAGCTTGGCCATGACTGCTGTGTATGGATCAAACACACACAGCCAACACACATCTGGCAGTTTCCAGTTACGTGGACTGATCCTCAGGTTCAGGGCCTGGGAATCTCATTCCCCACAGCACGGATATTCTGGAATTCTGCATGCAATGATCTTGCGAGACGGGTGTTTAGAGCAACAGTGCAATGAATTTTCCAAGGGAGGAAGCGGATTGAGCACTGTGGCCAAAAGCCCCCCCCCACACACACATGCACACACACACACCTATCTTGTGGCTTTGAATTGGCCATGGGAACTTTATGAGAGTTTGTCCACAAAAGGGGCTCTCCCTCCCCACAGAATCTTGGTGTGGCAAATGTGAAATGCGCAGGAAACGGTTCCTAGTTTTTCTAATTTTCTGCCGAGGTATTTTTCCATAGAGAATGGCAGACGTTCCAAACGTTCCCCCCCTTCCCCGCCCCCCAATGTGATTTCCTTAATTATCGGCTCCATCATGCTATCATTTTTATATCTCCTTGATCTGCAGTAATCTAGCCGACTTGTTTGTATAAAGTGTTATTTTGTCTCAAGCAATAGTAATTAAAAAAAAACCTACATTCCACTCTGGTGTTGTGTCATAAACTGGGTGTGAATTTAGTAAATTCAGATTGTGGGCCTAGAAGGGGGGCATTTTGAAATGCAGCCTAAGGATGTCGGCATCCCACATCGCTTGGGAGAGGAGCCTTTCTCAATAGCAGTTAATAATGCTCCTATAAATAGAAACGAAGTCATAACTAGTAGCCAGCACAGGGCTGTTAAAAACAGATCATGCCAAACCAATCCTATTTCATTCTTTGGCCAAGTGACTAAATTAGCTGTGGACGTAGTATACTTAGACTTCAGCAAGGCATTTGACAAAGTAGACCACAACCTATTTCTTGGCGAGCTAGAAAAAAATGTGTGATAGACAGCATCACCACCTGATGGATTTGTAGCTGGCTGGCAAACCGCACTTAACAAGTAGTCCTCAGTGGAACCACATCCACATGGAGAGAAGTAAGCAATGGGGTACCACAAGGCTCCGTCTTAGGCCCAGCACTCTTCAATATCTTCATCAATGACTTACATGAGGGAATAGAAGAGGAACTCATCAAATTTGCAGATGATACCAAACTGGCAGGAATAGCCAACACCCCAGAAGACAAGCTCAGGATTCAAAAAGATCTTGACCAACCTGAACAATGGGCCCTATCCAACAAAATGAACTTTAATGTGGAGAAAAGCAAAGTTTTACATTTAGGCAGGAAAAATCAAAGGTACAAGTACAGATTGGGCAAGACCTGGCTCAAAAACAGTAACTACGAGAGGGACCTTGGAGTCCTGGTGGACAATCACTTGACCATGAGCCAGCCGTGTGTGGCAGCAGCCAAAAACGCCAACACAATCCTAGGCTGCACTAATAGAGGCATAGAATGAAAATCATGTGAAGTATTAGTACTGCTTTATAAACCCTGAGTAAGACCACACTGGGAACACTGCATGTAGGTTTGGTCACAATATAAAACCTGCTGAGATTCTGAAAAGAGTGCAGAAGAGCAACTATGATTAAGGATCTGGAGACAAAATTATATGAAGAACGGTTGCAGGAATTGGTTTTGGCTTAGTGTAGAGAAAATAAGAAATAGGGGGTATTTGTGACGGGTCCCCCCAGTAGCTGGAAACTGAAACGGGGAGGATTTGCTTCTGTTCCCCCGGGGAGGGGGAACTGTCCCCTCGGCCTTGATGGCCGGTTTCTGTGCTGGGCTAACACAGTAGTATTCCAGTATTTGAGGGGCTGCCACAAAGAAGAGGGGGTCAAACTATTCTCCAAAGCACCAGAGGGCAGGACAAGAAACAATGGACAGAAACTAATCAAGGAGAGAAGCAACCTGGAATTAAGGAGAAACTTCCTAACAGGGAGGACAATTAACCGGTGGAACAGCTTGCCACCAGAAATGACTGGATATTTTTAAGAAGAGACTAGGCCAGGGGTAGGCCACCTCGGCTCTTTTATGACTCGTGGACTTCAACTCCCAGAATTCCTGAGCCACCCATGCTGAGGGGAAAGGGAGAGGTTTCCAAGCTGAGCCAGGCTGGCTCAGGAATTCTGGGAGTTGAAGTCCACGAGTCATGAGGGGGCCATAGTTCCCCCATGCTGGCCCAGGAATTCTGGGAGTTGAAGTCCACGAGTCATAAAAGAGCCAAGGTTGCCTTCCCCTGCACTAGGCCATTTTATGACTCGTGGACATCAACTCCCAGAATTCCTCAGCCGGCATGGCTCAGTTTGGAAACCTCTCCCTTTCCCCTCAGCATGGCTGGCTCAGGAATTCTGGGAGTTGAAGTCCACGAGTCATAAAAGAGCCAAGGTGGCCTACCCCTGCCCTAGACTGTCACTTGTCTGAGATGGCAGGCTCTCCTGCTAGGGCAGGGGGCTGGACTAGAAGACCTCCAAGGTCCCTTCCAGGCCGTCCCTGGAGCGAGAGAAGAAACCGGCCATCAAGAACAGCCCAGCGCAGAAACCGGCCATCCAGGCCGAGGGGACGGTGCCCCCTCCCCGGGGGAACAGAAGCAAATCCTCCCCGCTTCGCTTTCCGGCTACGGGGGGGGGGGAACACCCGTCACGAGACACCCCCCTCCCCCCCGGTGAGCAGAACGAGGCCGGGGCTCCTTTGGGCGGCGCCGCGGTCCCGGGCGCGAAGTCCGCGGAAGGCAGAGAAGGAGGAGCCTCCCCCTCGCGCGGGGCTCCGTGGCCCCGCCCCCTCCTGCCCCCCCTGCGTGGCCCCGCCCCCCGGTGGGCGGCGACGGAGGCGGCGGGGGCAGCGATGGCGGCGGCGCTGGTGGCCTCGGCGGGGCGGCGGGGCGTCCTTGCTGCCCGCGGAGGTCGGTCGGCGGGGCTCCGGGGAGGGACCCTCCGCTGCTCCCGGGCGGCCCACCTCGCAGGGGGGGCGGGCGGGTGGGCGGGTCGGTCTGGGCGGCCTCTGAGCCCCTCTCCTCCCGTTCCCCCCCTCCAGCGCGGCTGCTGCACGCGGGGCTGCCGGAGACGCACCAGATGCTGCGGGAGACCTGCCGGGACTTCGCCGCGAAGGAGCTGGCGCCCATCGCCGCCCGCCTCGACCGCGAGCACCGCTTCCCCGACCAGCAGGTCAGGCGGGGGGCACGGAGGGCAGCCCGAGCGGCGCCCGCGGGGAAGGAGCCTCCGCGACCCCGAGGGGCTTCTGGGGAGGGGGCAGGCGCGGATTCGTCCCGGCGGGACTGGCCGGAGCCTCCTCGGACTTACCCAGAGGAATCCTCGACTTACGACCGTTCGTTTAGTGACCAGTCGAACTGGCACTGGGAAAAAAAGGAGTTATGGCTGTTTGTCCCCAAGTCCAGAGGCTCCGTTCAGATTCAGGAGGGCTGCGGGGTTCCCGGGGGTGGGGGTAGTGGGGGGTCACATGATCCTCTTGTGACCTTCCAACCAGCAAAGTCAACGGGGGAAGCAGGTTCACTTAACAGCCCTGTGACCCACTTAACAACCGCAGCGAGCCACTCAACAACCGTGGCAGTCGTGAAATGGGGTCCAAACTCTCCCAGCAACTGTATCACCCAGCAATGGAAATTTTGGGTTGTTAAGTTGAGGACTCCCTGTTATTTCAGATCTATTTGCTTCCTGTGGACAAACTTCCTTCCATTTTGCAACACAGGTGGGGCGTCTTGGCCCCTCCAGTGCAGGAGCCCCACCTGGACTGGCTGCTCTGCCCCTCTTCCCACCCCCCCACCCACCCACCCCGTATTTCTAATCGATTAACCTTGTAGGCATTTTATTTCTAAAGTGAAAAACACAACCACACAGAAGAACTCAACTCTCCAGCCACCGTTGGCTGTTTTCTGTCTCTGAAGCTGGTGCAGGTGTGTCCCCTCAACACCTTTGCACTGGTTTTTGTTTGCATGGTGTGTCCTTGTTGAACTTGACCTGAGCTACGCCTTTCTGAGAAGCGAGGAAGGGCATAAATCAGAAATGGGCAACTATAGCAATTTTACGACCTGTGGACTTCAACCCCCAGCATGGCTGGCTCAGGAATTCTGGGAGTTGTAGTCCACAGGTCCTAAAGTTGCCATAGTTGCCCATCCCTGGCATAAATGTTCTAGCTTGAGGGTAGATCCTGGATTGGTGCCACCAGCAACTGCCACTAACGTGATCAACAAAGCTTTGCTGGGTTTTCACCAGGGGTGGACTAATGACCGTCGGTCACTTTTGTAACCTCGTTTCTCCTGTTTCTAGATTAAGAAAATGGGGGCCCTGGGGCTGCTAGCGATGGCTGTGCCCGAAAAATACGCAGGAGCTGGCTTGGATTGTTTGGCCTACACCGTTGCCCTGGAGGAGATCAGCCGTGGCTGCGCGTCCACCGGCGTCATCATGAGCGTCAACAACGTAGGTACCACCGATGGTCCCTTCTCCGACAGCCCACCCCACCCCGTGGCCCAGCCCTGCCTGGAACGGCCACGGCTGCTCCCCGGGGCCAGAGGTGGAGGTCCCAAAAGGAGATTTACAGGGACCCTTTTCCCCCCCCCTTTTCAGTCGCTCTATCTAGGACCGGTTTTGAAGTTTGGGTCTGAAGAGCAGAAACAAGAGTGGATCCCTCCTTTCACCAGTGGGGAGAAAGTGGGGTGCTTTGCCCTAAGCGAGCCAGGTAACTTGGGCACTTGGGATTTGCCCCCGGTGGTCTTTTCCTTTTAGATTCTACAAGCCGTCCTCAACTTAGGACCACGACTGAGCCCAAAATTTCCATCGCTAAACGAGACGGTTGAGCGAGTTTTGCCCCATTTTACAACCTTTCTTGCCACAGTTGCTAAGCGAATCACTGCACAGTTGTTAAGTGAACCTGCCTTTCCCATTGACATGGCTTGTCAGAAGGTCGCAAAAGGGGATCTCGTGACCCCCCCAGGACACGGCGACCATCAAAAACACCTGTCGGTTGACCAAGCATCCCAATGGTGATCAGATGACCACTGGGGAGGCTGCCATGGTGAAAAACAGGGGTGAAAAACAGTCATAAGTCACTTTTTTCAGAGCTGTTGTAACTTTGAAAGGTCACTAAACGAACGGCTGTTAAGTGAAGGACTTCCAGTACAGAGGAAGCTGTATATATGTCTGTTGTGTGTCACGCAAGGGAGAGGAATGGAGGGTGCAAAGAGCTGCTGGACGGCTGGGCCTCCCCCACCCCAAATTCTTGCCACAGTCTTGGAGGCGCCTCATGGGCATCCTGCCATCAAAGGCTAGGAGGGGAGGGAGGATGGAAGGAAGGAAGGGCAGTAAAGCTGTGTGTGTGTATACGTGATCAGCGTGATCTTGTCCCAAGGCTAGACACCCCGAGAAGTATGTACATTACCCCCAAACATCTCAGAGTTCTCAAAACAATTTGGTGAGCTCCCGTTGTTTGGAAACGGACTGGTCACGGGGGGGAGGGATGGTCTGGGGGGGGAAAAACCTTTTTTGTATCTCTTGAGCTCGGGAAAAGTCAGAGCTAGCCTGACTTCACTGCAGCCAACACCTTTAGCAAAAGAAGCCCTGGCTGTAACCAAATGGAGTCGAGGGTCTTTCTTTCCAAAGGGATCAGACTGGGGCAGGTCTGACACAGGGCGCTGTCCACCTGGTGCAGCCAAGCCAGGCCGTGCTTGCTGGAAAAGAGCAAAAGGCAAAAATCCTCCTCTTGGCTGCATCCGCCGTCTTTCTCTCGCCAAGGAAACGGCAGCGACGCCGGAGCGGCCTCCACGGTGGCTCAGCTGGTTGGGGACGAGTGGGTGCTGAATGGCACCAAGGCCTGGATCACCAACGCCTGGGAGGCCTCGGCCGCCGTGGTCTTCGCCACCACAGACAAAGCCCTGAAGCACAAGGTAGGCTCCGACCTCGGCCAGGCCGGGCAAGCGGGTGGTCTCTGCAGGGGGAGGAAGGGTCCTGGGAACCGTCTCCAGGGGGGCGAGGAACTGGGCCTGGGACAGCCGAGTTTGGCTGAGAAGCTGAAGAGGAGACCACAGTGGCCATCAGGCATCCAAAGGAAGGAGTGACGGTGGACGTCCCGATCTTTGGGACGCCCCCCCCCCCGGAACGTGGGGACCCTGGCTCCAGAAGCCGAGCGGGCGGCCTTCTTTGAGGGCTGCTCCACCTGCTTGGCTCTCATGGGAGGAGGGGAAGCTGCGTCCTCCCCTGTTCCCCAAGCCCTGCTGGGCAGAAAAAGTCAGCTGGGGCTTCGGGGCTTCTGGGGAGCCGCTGGGAAAGGCTGCTGTTCCTTGCAGGGCATCAGCGCCTTCCTGGTGCCCATGCCGTGCCCGGGCCTCTCGCTGGGCAAGAAGGAGGACAAGCTGGGCATCAGGGCTTCCTCCACCGCCAACCTCATTTTCGAAGACTGCCGCATCCCCAAGGAGAACCTGCTGGGTGCGCAGGGGATGGGCTTCAAGATCGCCATGGTGAGTGGGGCAGGGAAGGGGGCCCCTTGCCCAGAACCCCCCCCCCACGAGGCCCTCCCCCATCGCCTCCTTGTCTTCTTCGCAGCAAACCTTGGACTCCGGCCGGGTTGGAATCGCTTCCCAGGCCTTGGGGATTGCCCAGGCCGCTCTGGATTGCGCGGTGGATTACGCCGAGAAGAGGCTGGCCTTTGGCCACCCCATCACTCAGCTGCAGGCCATTCAGGTAGGGGGGCAGCCCTCCCCCCGCTTTTTCTGCTGCTGCTCTGCTTCAAGGGCCTCTTTCTGAGCCCCAGGAGAGGCTCACCGGGTCAGGGAGGGGATTAAGAGCCCTTCTGGGGCCCCAATGACAAAAGACAGGCCTCCCCCTGCCCCATTGGGTGCTCCACCCCAGGTCCCCCTGGAATGCAGAACAGCAGAGGAGGGAGGGAGGGAGGGACCTTGGAGGTCTTCCAGTCCAACCCCCTGCTCAAGCAGGAGTCGCTATACGGGTAAGTCCTCGATCTATGACCACAATTGACCCCAAAACTTCTGTTGCTAAGCGAGACAGCTGTTAAATGAGTTTTGTCCCCACAGTTGTTAAATGAATCACTGCACTTATTTATTTATTTATTTATTTAAATTTATATACCGCCCTATCTCCCTTACGGGACTCAGGGCGGTGAATAGGCAATAATAAAAATCACAATAAATATTAAATAAAAAGCCTGCTCTAAAATACCCCATGTAAAAACCCCTACCAAAACACAATCAGAACTACGCCAGGCCGGCCGCATGGAATAGATGGGTTACTTGTCAGTAACACAGCAGTCAAGGGAACCTAGCGTCCTCACGGCTTGCCAAAAGAGCGCAAAAGGGGATCACGTGACCCCAGGACACTGCAGTCTTCCTAAATGCAGGCCAGCTGCCAAGTGGCCAAGGGGAGGCGGCAGCGGTCATAAGTGTGAAAACTGGTCACAGGTCACTGTTTTCAGTGATGGTCACTAAACCAAAGCTTATAAGTTGAGGACTACCTGTATGGGGGCGGGGAGCAACTATGGCAATCTTACGACCTGTGGACCTCAGCGCCCAGAATTCCTGAACCAGGAATTCTGGGAGTTGAAGTCCACAGATCATAAAATCGCCATAGTTGCCCCCTCTGCCCTGTACCATTCACATGCGACCTTCCCCCCCACACACACACACCCACACACACACTTCATGGAGAATGGCCTGCTCCATCCCCGGGCCTTGCAAGGGGCTGCTTGGCTTTCCTTTGTGGCATCCACAGTCTGCAGCCCTCAGGCACCGTCTTCCCTTCGGCTAAGCCAGGATCGTCGGCAATAATGCCGGATTAGACTCCTCCTGTGGTTTAGGGGTGCTGACGATCCGCCCTGGGGGGTGTTCTGTGTCTAGTTCAAGCTGGCTGACATGGCGGTGGCGCTGGAGGGGGCTCGCCTGCTCACCTGGAGAGCAGCCACGTTGACTGACCACGGAAAGCCCTACACAAAGGTAATCTCCCTCTCTACCAACTGGGGCCTAATTAGCCTCTCTAGCAGGAGTGCCGTAACTTGGCACCTTGAAGACTTGTGGACTTCAGTTCCCAGAATTCCCTGGCCATCCTTGCTGATGGGGCAGACCTTCAGAATTAAAAGTTCATTTCTTAAAAAAAAAAAATAGCATCTCGTGAGAATGCCAGCATTTTACAAGGTTATAAAAAGGAATAAGTGGGATCTCAATTTCTTAATAATTGCTTGTCCATCGGGAGGGGGCACCTAATACGATCCTGCACTGGCCCTGAAGCTCCTCCTTGCCGTAGAGCAGGGGTAGTCAACCTTGGCTCTTTTATGACTCGTGGACTTCAACTCCCAGAATTCCTGAGCCAGCCATGCTGAGGGGAAAGGGAGAGATTTCCAAGCTGAGCTATGTTGGCTCAGGAATTCTGGGAGTTGAAGTCCACGAGTCATAAAGCGGCCTAGGCCTAGGCCAGAGGTAGGCAACCTTGGCTCTTTTATAACTCGTGGACTTCAACTCCCAGAATTCCTGAGCCAGCCATGCTGAGGGGAAAGGGAGAGGTTTCCAAGCTGAGCTATGTTGGCTCAGGAATTCTGGGAGTTGAAGTCCACGAGTCATAAAGCGGCCTAGGCCTAGGCCAGAGGTAGGCAACCTTGGCTCTTTTATAACTCGTGGACTTCAACTCCCAGAATTCCTGAGCCAGCTAAGCTTCTGGGAATTGAAGTACATGAGTCATAAAAGAGCCAAGGTTGACTACCCCTGCTGTAGAGGCTGCCTGGCCCAACCACGGAAGGTGCGGCTGGGACTTGCAGGCCCCGCAGGAGAGCCAGGCCTGGGGTCTGGCAGTGCCATAAGCAGCAGGCCCTCCTTGCCCAATGATACCTTTTAAGCTTGATTTGTTGAAAATTCAGAAAAATGCCTACCTTGACTCTGCTGGCATGTCTCTCTCACACACAGAGACAGACATTTCCCCCTTTCCCCTCCCTGGAAAAAGAGGAAGTTGCAGGATTTTTGGAAGCCTCGGAGGTCCTGCGTGAGCAAGGCCCTCTCGCGTGACTTCCAGAGGGTCTGGGGGCCTGGCATGTTACTGGCGACACACGTGCCTAGAGAGGACCGTGCCAGGCAGCTGCTCTGCTTTCCCTCCCTAGGAGGCAGCCATGGCCAAGCTCTCAGCGTCCGAGGCAGCGACTTTCATCTCCCACCAGGTAAGTTTCACCAGGGAAAGGTTGAATGGCCAACTGGCAGCAGCCGCAGGTGAGTTGCGCTCCGTCTTGGAAGGAGAGACGATCCTTGCAAAGCCTGAGCATTAGATGGCTGGGAGGCTGGTCCAGTTTGCGGAGAGCTGCCTCCATTCCACCCGGGCCAGAACCGATGCTTTTCCTTCAGGCGATCCAGATCCTGGGCGGGATGGGCTACGTGACGGAGATGCCGGCCGAGCGCCACTACCGAGACGCCCGCATCACGGAGATCTACGAGGGAACCAGCGAAATCCAGAGGCTGGTGATTGCCGGACAGCTGCTGAAGGCCTATCGAGGCTGACGGGGAGGACTGCTACGGAAGAAGAGGGTCACGGGGGCCCCCCTTAGGTCAGGGGCTGGCTTAAGTGGCGGGCATCCACCCCTTGGCTCACCACGGAAGAGACAGGCCGGGCACCCGCCTCCTTTGATGACCACGTCGCCGATGGAGGTAGAGAAGAGGCATCTTGAATAATCGGGAACAAGGACCTTGGAAATGGGTGCACAAGTGCCTCCTATCCCACCACCCTTGCCAAAGTTCTCTAGTCTCTAGCTAAGATCTACTCCATCATGGACCACGCGGATTCCAGTGGGGCGAGATCTGTCCAGGTGCAGTTTCTCTTTGTCTTCAGTGACAGCTGCAAGAAAGCAGGTTGTTGGGAAACAGATCAGTGAGACATTAACCGGGGATTGGGAAGCGACCCCAAATCAACGAACCCTGAAAAGCTGCTGGTGTTGGTGGCAGAGAGCAAACCGTAGCCATAAGACTCCCAAGTGCCTTGTTTGTGCCCCAAAGCCAAGTTTCCTCCACCCCAGAGGCAGATGCCCCCATTGATGCAATCAGAATCGGCTATTAAATTTAAGCACTGACAGATTTGGGTTTAATTGCCGTCCTTTTTTGAATACACATTCAAGGGTTCAAGAGCTGGAAGAGGGTCCCTTGCAGCTTCCCAGAGAAAGGGGAGACTAGCTGGACCTTGGTGCCCCCCTCAGTCAGGTATTTTTGTCTGAACATTTAACTGAAATTTAAGTGGCCCAGACTCACCCAGCCAGCTTTCATGCCTAAGGCAGGACGAGAACTCAGAGTCTCCTAGTCTCCAGCTTGGAGTGCTTTTATTTTTTTAATTTTTAATTTGCTTCCTCACCAAGTTCTGGAAGTTGAAGTCAACAAGGTAGTTGCCAAGGCTGACAAGCATGCTCTACCTCATCTCATCTCCAAGTTAGCACAGGTCCTTCCCAGGCTGGTGACTTGGGCAACTTCAGTTTGCCTTTTCCAGGGTTGGATTCAGTCAGTTTCAAGATTTTATAGTCACCGTGATAATCATGGGCTTGTCACAGGCACCCAACTCGGGAGCCTTGACCGCCCCGTGTTCTTGCAGCAGAGGCAGCGTGGTTTGAATTTGGGGAATGTTAACAAGTCTGATATCATAGTCTGATTAAAGTTGGTCAGTTCATTTCATTTTCCAAGGGAGAAAGATGGCCCTGAAGAACATCTGTTGCGCATCTGGCATTCAGAATTAAGATGCCATCTGAGACACCAGTTGTGGTGAAGAAAGGCTCCTCTTGTGAAGCTACCTGGGATGAGCCTGCAACTGTTGGTCTGAGGAAGTGGATCTCCATCCTCTGGGACACCAACTCCACCGCCTCTTGTGGGTTGGATCCCTGCCTTTTCTGATTAGTAGTGGAAGTGCTCTCCTTACTCAATTAGACATCACTCAGTCTGACTTGGAGAATTACCAGTCTCTAATGCTTCATTCATGGTGAAAGTTCTCAAGTAGGTCTGTAACTCTGGAGGGCCCTGGAGGAAATAGATTTTCAAGTGGTTTGTGAAACAACCTCCATGCTTTTTGATGACCTGTGTCCCTCCTTGAATTTTCAGCAGCCATTGATCAAATCACAGGCTCGGTCTGAGCCGTCTGCTGTGTTTGGGAATTGGTGGTACATTTTTAGCGTGCTTGTCCTTCCTCTAAGCTGAATCCAGCAAACGGTAGTGGGAGAAGTGGGGTCGCAAGGCCTTCAGTTGTGGGTGGCTGCAATGTTTAATATCCATATGAAGCATGGCAGGTTATTTCTTGACCCAGGATTAGTTATCAGTATGCCAATATTCAGCTTGCATCAAGCCACAAAGGAGTGACCGGAAGTCAGAATCCAGTAAGATGGAATTGCTTTGGATCCCAAGACTGAGTCCAGGGAGAATCCATCCTTGATTATGGAAGGGCTGCATGCCTTCATTCGGAACTGGTGAACGAGAATCTCCTTGGACTCGCGGCTTCTGTCCGAAGGAGAGGTGTCAACGTCAGCTAAGAGGGCTCTTGCACAACTGCATCCTGTTTCTGCACCAGGAGACCTGGTGCTCTGTCATCATGCCTTAATTCTCCCTTGGTTGGATTACTGCAATACACTCTATATGGGGCTGCCCTGGAAGGCCACCCAGAAGCTAAAGGTGGTTCTGAATGCAAATGGCTTAAATAGCTCTGGATGTTTTTAGAGTGCTTCCTCGGTGCAGTAAGATTAAGTTTTGTTAAGTCTTTAACTTTTGTTAATAACTATGTATTTCTTGGAAAGGGTTGCCACTGAAGCAGTATTCAACTCACATAACAACTGTTTAAAACATGATGAAGATATTCCAGGTATAAAATTAGTCTTTAAGATAAAAAGAAAGTTTAAAAATGCACCGTTCCAGGATTAATAACTAGAGAAGTAGAACAAGTGTGTGATCTACTTTTTGCCCACCAAGACATCAGCAGGTGGAGGTGATCCTACAGGGTCTCTCAGGCAGTTGAGGATCACCTCTCCATCGGTCTCATCATATCTGTGTCTGCCCTTTCACACCAAGAACATCACTATACAGCTACAGCTAGTCCTCAACTTATGACTGTTCACTTAATGATTCACAGTTACGACGCCTCAGAAAAAGTGACTTACTTTGAAGTTACAACTGTTACATCAACTCTGCGGTCTCGTGATCACAGTTTGGGCGCTGGGTAGTCGGCTCGCATTACGATGGTTGCAGCGTCTTGCAGTCAGATGACCTCAGTTTGTGACCTTCCCAGGCGGCTTCTGAGAAGCAGTCAACTGGGGACGCTGGATTCGCTTAACAACCATGTGATTCACTTAACGGCCACATGGTTTGCTTAATGGCCACGGTGATTCACTTAACTGGTAAAAATGGTCATACAACTGGGTCTGGTCACACAATGATTGCTCAATGACTGCATGGCTTAGCAACCCAAATTCAGTTGAGGGCCACCTGTACAATTACGCCACAGGGGGAAAAAAGCGTTTGTGCTTCTGAATCAAAACTATTTTAACAAGAAACAAAATGCTTAAGCAAGTCAACAGAAGGTGCTTCTGCTGCTCCACAGAAGCTTTTCAGGTGTGGCTGCCTGGATCCTTTGGATTCTGCTCTGGCAGCTGCTTCCTGGGTTCCTGATATATCAGCGCCCAGATATATGACCTTACCTTGTACAGCAAGACTTAAAACACACAAGGGTGGGATTACCAAGAGTTGGAGAGCTGCTGAACTTAAAACTCTCCCTGGTTTTTGGGAGGTCCAGCTATGCAACAAAACCTGGGTGCCTTGGGGGACAACTTGTGCTGGGGGAAAAAAGGGGGACTGGGATCTTGTTAGACCGTGTGGGCCTCTTGGTGGCCATCGGTCCAGCCGCCACGGAATCCTTCCGCGGAGGCTGCCAGAGCGGGCATCTGAAGCCGTGCTTGGGCAGGGCGACGGATTGGGGAAGAGCCAACAAACGGAGACTCAATCCAGACTGAGGTTTCTGGCTACTAAGGTGCCTCCGACTGGCAGGGCTTAGCAGAGCCATCTCCAGCGGCTCACCCCAGCTGGCATCTGCACGTGCCCTTGGGTCAGCTTTTCTTAGGAAAAAGGCCCTCCAGGCTGCACCAGCCTTCTGCTCCTCAGGGCCTCTGTACAAACTGAAGCGCCTGCTAAAATTCTGGTCGGAAAAAAGACATGAATCCTGCCTAGAGGGTTGGGGGATTTAAGCCACGAGAACTCCACCAGTTTCTAGTCATTTTGCAGCAACGGTGGGAGAACATGAAGCGAGCCATTGTTTCCTTCCATGGAGCCAATTCAAAAGAGAAAAAGCGAAGTTTTAAATAGAAAGTAAAATGAGCAATTTGATATAACACAACCCAGCATCAACTGTAATTTTACCTCCCTCTTTTTTCTCTTTTAAGTGATCAAAAACTAAAACATTTTTTTAAATGGATTTGAAGAAACCAGACACTGATAATCAGTGCCTCAATTACATATAATTTCAACGCACCTCATTAAATAAATTAAAACCACAAGCACAAATTAATATATACTTTATAAGATGCCGGGATGTTAATTATAGTACAAGTATAGCATCCACTTTGGAGCTGCTTTTGAACGGACTTGTAAAAATATGACTTCTAAAAAGTATGGTTTAAAAATATGCATACATTGGGAATATTTTGTAGAAAGGCATGGTCTGAGCAGAGCAAAATAAACACCACATATGCGCTTCTGGCGCAGCTGAAAATCCCAGTCACTATTAACGCATTGCAGCGCATTGAGAGACCCTCCAGGGGGAAGGCGGATGGACACCACGGGACCCCAGTTATGCGTAGGCTTTCCAGCTGCTTCCAGGCCCTGCCTCACGTGGCCAGATGTGCTGCCTGCCTGCCTGCCAATTCTCTGCCCACTGGAGCCGGAGAAGAAGAGCCCAACAAACAATTATCAACGCTTCAGAAAGTTCCTCACATTCTCCCATAACCCACATTGTACATCAATTCTCCATGCAAATGGGTAAATTCTCCTAGGAGCAACAAAAAATTATTTTAAGACGAATGGTTACATCCCTATCGTTTAGTTGAGAACAAGAAAATGATCTCTGTGAGAATTGAAATTTAATTGATTGAAAGTGACAACAACTTTCAACTGCAAAAGCTGGCGATTTCAGTTAGGATTTTCAAAATTCAAGCCCAGAACCCGCGAGAGTTGGACTCTCCACTGGTTTTGTGGGTTGTGGGGGGTAGGGGAGGAGGGGTTGCAAACACCCAGTATGCAAAATGAGTGGACTGGAAACAGGAGGAGGGTTTTGTTCCCGTAATAAAAAAAAAATCTTGTCTCCCTGCAAGCATCTTCATTGTTATCACATATGGAAATGCACACCGGCTGCTAAGGAAAGCTTTTGGAAGTGAATTCCTGCCCTATGACTCGAACAAATGCAAAATACACTTTCGTTCCACGGTGACTCCTTTTCCAAAGATGTGCTCTGGAGAACAGGTTTAGGGCAACCAAACATCAGGATACAGCAGACGTGGGTCTGATGAGTCGAGTGTGAGAAACGGGCAGAGATCCTTAGGATCAGTTCCAATTAGTCAACTAAACCAAGCTAAACTATGAGTGTTCAATACAGGGTACAAAAGCTAGACTTGTTTGGAAATTACCGAAGTCCTGAATTTGTTTGGAAATAAAATACAACAAAAATTTCAACATGCTTCAGATAGACCGCGTGACCAGGACCGTCTGTAAAGACAACAAAACCAGCCATCTTTAGAAGCCAAGCAGCTCTTTGTGTGGTCAGGGCCTGGATGGAAGTAGGGTGACCTGTAATTTCATGATGAGAAAAGATGAAATATACATACAGAATAACAGAGTTGGAAGAGACCTTGGAGGACTTCCAGTTCAACCCCTGCTCAAGCAGGAGACCCTATACTGGGGTGTCGAACCTTGGAACTTTAAGACTATGCTGGCTGGGGAATTCTGGGAGTTGAAGTCCATAAGTCTTAAAGTTCCCAAGGCTGGACACCTTTACCCTCTCTCCATTCCAGACAAATGGCTGGTCAATCTCTTCTTTAAAAACCTCCAGGGATGGAGCACCCACAACCTCTGAAGGCAAGCTGTGGGGTTCCCTTAATTTAAGAATTGTGTTCCTGTGCCACTTTTCTCAAAGTGCCTCCTAAACTGTATACACAAAGGAGGTCCCTTGGCTCAGATGAGGGGTGTCCACAACACCATCTCCTGCAAACACCTAACTAGATGCTTCCAGGAAGCTCTCCAACTGGACACGAAGGCAACATGAAACCTGCTGAGGAACACAAAAAGGAAACAATGAGGGATGATGGCATGTCAGGAGATGACTGTCCACGTATGACTGAAGGGCAATAAACCATCTCAGCTCCAAGCTCTTTGAAGCCAGCCTAGGAAAGGCCTGTATAATGTCCTGGGGTTTGAGATTTTACAAGCACAGACCTTTAAGTAGAAAGCCAGAAACTTTTCTTTTGATCAAAAAGAGATCATTATGCCGGGAAACTTTAAAACAGTTGATCTGTCACAGTTAACACAACAGAACCTGGACAATTTGTTTAGAAAAGTCCTTGTTTTTAAGAGACTCCCAGGTACAAAGTAGTCATCATAAACGTTGACCATCACAACAGTAGAGGGTGGAGTCCCCACTTTTAAACATTGGGTAATGGGGAGAAATACAACACACTAATGAAACAATGCAAAAGAAATTACCAAAAAATAGAAAATAGAAAAAAATGTATTTACAAGTCATACATTACTATGATCAGAACACACGAAGACAACAGCTGCTATAATACATGCATTAGGTCAAGAGAAGAGAGCTACTAAAAACTGTAATGGACAAGTTGTAAAAAAAAACAAACCCACAAACAAAACAGGGCAGGAAGGAAAAGGCTTCGTCTTTCTTCCCCCCCTAAGTTTGCTACATTGATTGCAAATCAAAAAAATAATAATAATAATCCCCTAACATCCAGGAGGACATTCAGTACGACATACTACACCTTTAAAAGAAAACAGAACTGGAAGCTTCACTGGTGGGGAGGGACAGGGAGCGGCATTGGGCTATTTGCAGATCCATATACAAGAAAGCCATTGTCAACTGCTCTACATGCTCAAAATTACAGCAAGCCCCTCTCAGCTACAAAGCATGATCCTAGCAGAGTTTACCCTTGCAGTGTGGGTGGGGGGGTCTGTGTTTTGTGTGTTGGTTCACACACATATACAATGCTATATGTGCATGCCTGAAGGGATGTATAAAAGGAGGAGTGTAGGAACATGTGTGTGTGTCTGTGTGCGTGTGTGTGTGTGTGTGTGTGGTGCTCTTATTCACTGCATTATGATATCAGGGTGGAAATGTAACTTGTTACAACAAAGTTTTTAATCTGGTATACTGCGATAAGTCAATCAATGTCTGTGGATTTCGTAGGTCACCTCACACCACAGGAGGAAATAAACGGAAAGGGGGGGGGGAGAAGAAGAGTACAGTGAGCGAAGAAATTCAGTTCGTTCCAAAACTGGAGTCCAACGGAAAAACAGGATCCAAAGTACGGGTGGGGTTTTCCAGGAAACTCCAAGTGCTGTGGCCATTTTCCCTTGTAGTGTTCACAAGTTCCTCAACGACTCAGTGGTGCCGTTTTCTGACCTAGGTTGCTGCCTCCTCCTCCTCCTCCTCCCCCCCCAGGAACAGCCGATGGTCTGCACTGGTTTGTAAACAGGAGGGGGGCCGGGAGGAGAAGGGAGCTGGGCAGGGGGGGGGGTCTCCAGTCACAAGGAAGAAGGGAGGCTGGAGAGGAAGCCCGGCGACTCTGCCCTGTCCTCCTCCTGGAAATACAGCACGTCCGTCTGTACAAGTTCCACAAACTGGCAATGCCCCGGAGTACCAGCCCGGCCTCAGGCACCGGCAAGCAAGCTGTGAGTGAAAAAAGATCCAGGCAGAAGTTTGGCCGCTGACCGCCGGCTCCATCATACCTCCAAGAACCGTGAGCTGGTGGACTTCGAATGGAATGGCTCCGACCACATGCGGCGCAGGTCGCCCTGGGAGAGAGACCGGGCCAGTTATTTATATCATACAGGGACTAGCAATATATATTAATATTTCGCCTAGGTTAACAGAACCCAATAAAAAAATACATGTTAAAAAGATCTATGTTCAAATACCAGTGTCACAAGGCCAACACCCGGTCCGTGGACCAGTACTGGTCCGTGGCAGGCCAGCAACCGGTCTGCACAAACAAGCAAAGCCCCATCCGCGGGATGGAGGCAGCACACAAAACTAGGCCCCACTCCGGTCCGCGGAAAAACCTCTCTCCACAGAACGCGGACGGGCAGGGAGGAGGGTCAGTAAGGGTGCACAAGGGTCCGGTGCGGCCCAAGTATGGCGGGGCTTGGGGTGGATACTGCTGGGTGGGGGAGATTTAACCGAAGGACCTGTGACCTTCCCCTTGACTTTGCCTGTGGGAAGCCAGCAGGGAAAGTTGCCCATGGTGGTCACGTAACCATGGGACGCTGCAACCATCGTAAGCGTGAGCTGGTTACCAAGTGCACAGATCATGATCGGGCGACTGGGGAGGGGGAGGGGGTCTCTGCAGTGGCTGGAGCCAACAAGTGGCTCTTACCCGTCCTTCGCAGGAAACAAAGGATACCGAACTGAAGGCCCTGCAAGGGATTGTTCTGAGCAGGAGGTGAAGGCCCAGGGAACTTTATTTTACTCCTTCCTATGAAAGGACCTGGCGGGGAAGGCAGAAAAGCATAGAGCAGCCGGCTGTGAAGGCAAGAGAAGCCTTCTCAGAACTAGGATCACAGTAGAACGGCACCCTATTTCAAAGAAGAAAAGGGACTGGTATCTTGGGAAAACATTATGGACCCCCAAAAAGATTCCCTCTCATCTAAGTATGAAAGGAAGCACCCTTTCCAAAGTTTTCGCCCCTCCAAAAAAGGTAAAAGTTTCCCCTGTCCAGTTGAGTCCGACTCTAGAGCACGGTGCTCCTCTCCGTTTCCTAGCCGAGGGAGCTGACGTTGTCCGAAGACGCTTCCGTGGCCATGTGGCCAGCATGGCTAAACACTGAGGCGCACGGAACGCTGTTACCTTCCCACCGAAGGGGTACCTGTTTATCTACTCGCACTTGCATGCTTTCAAACTGCTAGGGTGGGCAGGAGCTGGGGCAAGGAGCTCACTAGGGTGGGCAGGAGCTGGGGCAAGGTACTTCACTGCTAGGCTAAGGCCAACTGAATGGTCATTAAACCAGCAGATGTAACTTGAGGACTACCTGTTCACTGTAGTGTTGCTGCCAAGTCTTCCTTACGATTCAAGAAAGGAGTAAAGATATTTTACATGCATGCATTAAGTTTTCAGGCAGCGGGCAGTATCAAGGAAATGCATGCAGATATTTAAAACTTAAAATAAAAGCAAAAGCTGATCTAAGATCACAGCCCTTTCGAGGCACGAGTTCATTTTCCCTTTTCGGAGCAGGAGCTATAGAGTTAGTCAGGAATCGAGAGAGGCCTAGCTGCTGGCCCTTCTAGGAATTAGCTGCCTCTGTGGCTACAGGTCGGACTCTCCAAAGGGTGCAACCAGGAGCTGGTCTCCATCCTGGCCCCGCTTACCTTTAAGTAGGCCATAGTGAGGAGTGGCAGCAAGGTGAAGGGCACCAGGTACAGCAAAGCCGGCTGGGCTGCCCGGTGGATGCGAGACGCCACGGTGGCTGTTAAGAGCCCTGCGAAGGAGGCAAGAAAATTCACTGCTAGAAGGTGCTCGTTTTTTTACTCAGCAGATTCAGCCCCTGGAGAAATTTACTATCCCTAGAAGGCCTGGGACAGAAGAAGAGATTTATCTTTGCACTGACCTTTGCTGGCTCTGCTTTGCTACCCGTTTCCAAACATAATTATCTGTAAACCAGATACCTCCGACCTTAATAATAATAATAATAAAGTTGGAAGGGACCTTGGAGGTCATCGAGTCCAACCCCCTGCTCAGGCAGGAAACCCTATACCATTTCGGACAAATGGCTGTCCAGTCTCTTCTTAAAAACTTCCAGTGTTGGCGCATTCACCGCTTCTGGAGGCGGGTTGTTCCACTGGTTAATTGTTCTCACTGTCAGGAAGTTTCTCCTTAGTTCTAAGTTGCTTCTCTCCTTGATCAGTTTCCACCCGTTGCTTCTCGTCCTGCCTTCAGGCGCCTTGGAGAATAGCTTGACTCCCTCTTCTTTGGGGCAGCCCCTTGGCAACTTTAAGATTTGTGGACATCAACTCACAGAATTCCCCAGCCAGCTTTGCTGCCAATTAAAAACTAAAAAGCTTCTGAGAGTTCATAATGGCTCAAAGACTGTACACCTCTCAGCTAGTCATACCGTTAGCTAGTTAGCCTGCACGTGTATGTTTAAAACTGATTAAAAATTAGGGCTATATTTTAGAAAACCTTGTGTTTAAAAAAAAAAAAAGCTAAACAAAAAACTTCAAGCTACCGTACTTCATGAATGAAATTCCTCTATTTGGACTGTCCAGCATAAATCGTTTTCTAAGTTTGGTTAAAAGGTCTACAGTACTCCTCAACCTACGAGGGCAGGGGTAGGCAACCTTGGCTCTTTTATGACTCGTGGACTTCAACTCCCAGAATTCCTGAGCCAGCATAGCTCAGGAATTCTGGGAATTGAAGTCCACGAGTCATAAAAGAGCCAAGGTTGCCTACCCCTGTACTAGGGCAATCGGGCCCGGGAATGCCGTCACTAAGCAATGCGGTCATAAAGTGTGACCGCTTTGCTTAGCAATGGCCATCCAGGCCGTCTGTGTGCCATTTCCTGCTGCCTCCCTACAATCAAATCACTGGGGAGGCTGGCAGGAAGTGGCAAGCCCCGGGCTTTGACAATGACAAAGTTGTTGTCTGCCAATTACACAGTGATCTGAAGACCCCGCTCTGTGTGTGTGTGTGTGTGTGTGTATCTGAATGGTCAGAAGTCCCATTTGGAAACTATTTAGAAATTCACACTGCATGAATTGTGTTTATGAGAATGAATCTGGTGTAGCGGTTACTGGCTATAGGCTGGGTGACCTTGGGCCAGTCCTTTTCTCTCAGCCCTAGGCAGGAAGCAATGGCAAAGCACTGCTGAAAATCTTGCCAAGAAAGCGGCAGGGACTTGTCAAAGCAGTCAATGGAGCCAAAAGCTGACTCAAAGGCACAAAACTACACACATACACAACTAGTTTATACATCTATTTCCCTATTTCTCCACACTTCTACATAAACGGTGTCGTTTTAATGCAATCCTGCTTGGATTTCTGCAGGGAATACTTTCAGTCTGAGGGGAGAAACCTGTCCCCAGCAGTTCCCCCAACTTGTGTGTGTCGCCCAGGGTCTCCCACACCTGGAGGCATCCCACGTTCCTTACCTGGAACTCCGTCCACATAATGACCCATAAGATCGCTAAACAACAGCAACTGAGCGAGCCAGGGCCGTGGTTGTTAAGCGAAGCAGTCATGTGATGTCTCACTTAATGACTATTCTCTCAACAACCGATATCCCATACCCAATTGCGGATGTTAGTCGAGAACAACCTATAGGTGTGTAAGTTAAGTTTTGATCAACATATAAGAGGTTTAAGAATTTGCACTTCTTAACTTTTTTGTTTTGCACTTGGAAAAGTATCATAAACCCCTCCAAATTTTAAATGTATGTATGTATGTATATGTGTATGTGTATATGTATGTATGTATGCATGTGTATGTGTATGTGTATGTGTATGTCTATGTATATGCAGGGCTTTTTTTCTCATAGAACGCCCAGAACGGAGTTCCGGCACCATTTCGGACAAATGGCTGTCCAGTCTCTTCTTAAAAACTTCCAGTGTTGGCACATTCACCGCTTCTGGAGGCGGGTTGTTCCACTGGTTAATTGTTCTCACTGTCAGGAAGTTCCTCCTTAGTTCTAGGTTGCTTCTCTCCTTGATCAGTTTCCAACCGTTGCTTCTTGTCCTGCCTTCAGGCGCCTTGGAGAATAGCTTGACTCCCTCTTCTTTGGGGCAGCCCCTGAGATATTGGAAGACTGCTATCATGTCCCCCCTCGTCCTTCTCTTCGTTAAACTAGACAGACCCAATTCCAGCAGCCTTCTCTCTCTCTCTCTCTCTCTCTCTCACACACACACACACACACACACATATTCAGGAAAATACTACAAAGGCTGCTGTTAAAGAGTTGTGTAAGGGAAACGTTTCACAGTTGTCACAGCCCTTTCCAGCTGTCCTTTCCTCTTACCTACGAAGTATCCGATGAGAGTGCAATGGAAATAGGAGACTTTTTGCATACGGCCAGAAATGTTCCCGGGTCCCGCTGTGCCACAGGACTCTCCGTTTGCTTGTTTTTTGTAGTTGTCGTAACGCAGAACAAAGCAAAGCAGCAGGCCTGGCATCACAATATCTCCGATCCCCAGCATGGAAAAATGGCTGCCTGTGGAACTGCAAAAGAGCCAGCGATGTTAACGCCCCCAGCGCCAGCCCTTCCTTCTCGGCCAGCATCGGCCACAAACTGGCCAGGTAACCCAGGTTGGTGAATGGAAGGCTATGCCTCGCCCTCCACCCACCCACCCCGCTTGGGTCTCTCTTTTGTTAAGGGCAATCCTGTCCTGCAAACAGCTTCCAAAGTTGAGAAGTCAAGGACAGGAAGCCAAGAAGCCCAATCCTACCTTGGAAAGACCAGTTTGCCAGGCAGCGACAGGCGTGGGACGTCCCGGCCAACGCTGGGCCCCAGGTGAAGCTTCCGAGATAAAACATCCAGGGGGTTATCTGCCGGCTGTGTGGCCACTTTCACCATCACATTGCTGTTGAAGATGTAGGCAGAGAAGAAGACCTGGAGAGGGGAAAGAGCGAGTTTGAACTGCCCACAACCCAAATTGGGACCCGCAGCAGAGAAGCAAAAAGGGGTTGGCAGATGCATCTACCAGATCTCAGAGACCAGACTTAGGAGCCTTGTTGCTGGTGTGAAAGACGTACAGAAATATTTTGTGGGCAAATTAAACCTTTGTCCTCTTGGCACCGTTCAGCTCTATCTATGACTTGGCAGCCCTTCCTCAAATAAAAGAACTTAACTAGACGGCAGTGAACGAGGAAGCGGGAGGCTCGTCCAGCTTAACTACCCTTCTTCTCTGGGGAACTCTGGAGAACAGCCCAGCTTTCAAGAAGGCAGGTCTTCACAGCGAGGCAACTCTGCAGAGCTCAACCCGCAAACTAGAGACTGTGCCAGACGTTTTACCCCCAAATAACAGATCCCTGCTGAAGATCTGCCCAGGTAATAAGGGGCACCTGCCCTCTTTGGGCATTCATCGCTGATGTTGCTTCAGCCTGGAGATTTGGTTCCGGGAAGATGAGGCCTGCCCACCTCCTCCGCCCCTCAGGTCTAGGAAAGAGAGAAGGAAAATGACTTGCTGGGAATATCTCTCAGTGCCCGCAAGCACAAATGACTTGCTGGGAATGTCTCTCAGTGCCCGCAAGCCTACATCTTCAACAGCAAGCACAAAAAAGTAGCAGCTACCAAAGAGCTGGTCAAGGGATGTTTTTAAGTGTGACTCTGCTCCCATCCCAGAAACTCCAGCAGCTTTGCTTTCCACGAAGTCACAATTGTTGATATTGTACGCCTAAAACGTTCTTTCAAGTTCAAAGGAAAAAATGAATGAATGAATGAATGAATGAGCAAATGTTTAAAATTAAAATATTTTAGATTTTTATGGTAGCCTAGTTTATGATGCACATCTTATATCAGCTTTTTATTTCCCAAACTCTGAAGTGTATTAAGACATATACATTGAGATGTATATATTTAGCTCCCCTAATGAAAATTGCAGATCCTTCCATAGCTTTTCCCAGTTGAAGTAAACATGAGAGCCTCAGAATAATATGTACGGGGAAAAGCGAACATACATTTTATATAAAAGAAAAGGCCTTTTGACAGTTGATAAATGCAAAACATCCTGAAATATAATGCCTGTAGAGGCACTGCATAACACTCAATAAAAGTAGCGTTGCTGTGGCTCAGTCTGGTAAAAGCGTGTGTTGCTTTTACGTCCAACAGATGGCACTGTTTTTCAAAAAAAGCATGTTTTTACCTGTCACAGGTGTGACATCTATATAATATAGGTATATAAAAACACACGCGCATTCGAATGCAATGTTGTGTCAAAATTTCAAAGCAATCGGTGAAGAACTTTCAGAGATTTAAGATTTTGAACAAACAAACATTTACATTTTTATTTATATAGATAGAAGTGCAGATATGTATTCAAAAACTCACCCAAAAGACATCATAAATTAATAGCCCTGATAGCAGCAGACAGGAGACCTTAAGGCTCGGCAGCCGGACGAAGGCAATCATTGCAACACAGAGGCCCATGGCCAGAGCTAGGAAAAGAAAGAAAGAAATCAGATCTGCATTATCAGGCAGAACAAAAGGCACTGCTGAAAAGAAAAATCTTCAGTCGAGAAAGAAGCCAGCTGGGGCAGGGCAGAAATACGCCAAGAAAGCCGGTGTGTGTGTGTGTGTGTGTGTGTCTGGTTGCTGGGCCAGGTGCAGGGAAGCCCAGAAGCTTCTGGGGGGCTTTGAGCAGCTTCTCCCAGATCAACCCACCTGCCAGGGGACCCAGGGTCAGGGGAAAGAGGTAGGTTAGAAGGAACTCTGATGCCTTCCGCTCCTGTATGAAACACGAGATGCAAATTATGTCCATAACTGAACTTATACTCGAACGGTCATTAAGCGAACACGTGGTTGCGATTGTTGACTGAGCTCATGGTTCAGAAGTACAATAAGAAGTAAAAGCCAGTCTCTTTAAAAAAAACAAAACAAATCAACATCACAAACCACAGTCACATAAATGCAGTTACGTGATGTTGGAACGTTGATTCTGGATCATAAGTCCACTCTGGTTTTGAACGGTCATTTGGTGACCGGTCGTTAAGTCGAGGACTACTTGCACACAGTATGGGAAACAAACTTCAAATTAAAGCAACAACTAAGACATCCAGCTCAGAACTGGGGGAATTTACCAGGATCTACTCAAGTCATCTCGTTTAGTGCTGCGGCTGTTTGACCCTTCAAAATTTCAACGCCAAATATTAGGCCAAAGTGTTATCTTCCCAAGCAAAAGGAGATTCAACTGAAAGCCCCCCCAGCCTTCACTGGGCCCAGGCCAGGCCTCCTCTTCATTTCACTGGCTCTTCTCATCAGCCCAACCCGAGGGAGCATCCCTGCTCTGCACTCGGACAGAGCGGAGCGTTTGAGGTGAGGAAAGGGCAGCTATGAGAGCCCAGAATTACAGAACAACAGAGTTGGAAGGGACCTTGGAGGTCTTCTAGTCCAATCCCCTGCTCAGGCAGGAGGCCCCATACCAGGGGTGTCCAACCTTGGGGACTTTAAAACCTATGGACTTCAACTCCCAGAATTCCTCTGGCTGGCTGGGGAATTCTGGGAGTTGAAGACCACAGGTTTTAAAGTTCCCAAGGTTGGACACCCCTGTTCTATACCATTTGAAACACATGGCTGTCCAACCTCTTCTTAAAAGCGTCATCTCCTTCCCAGGTAGCCCAACTCTGCAAGAGGAAGCAGCTGGAGAGGACCTTCTCAGGAGAACATTCCTGGTGCTCTGATGTCCATCTTGCCTGGCAGCTACTTTGAAAAGCTTTGGGTACCAATCTATTCCCCTGCTTATTTTCTAGAGGCTTTAATTCTGTCCTTCCTTTGGTGGTGCCATTAATCTTTCTTGGGGGGGGGGAGAGAGAGACTTGTCGTGACCTGTATCAAACATAGTTTAGTCAAGACAAGCCAAGTGCATTCCTGAGGCCCAGGCCTGCTGCTTCTGCAGTCTTCCTCCCTGGGCACAGAAGCTGTTGCCTCAAACAGGCAAGAAATGAGATTACCCCACATGCCTTCGTGCAACTTTATTTTAATAATTTGTCAATTTTGGAAGCTTTCCCTTTGTGCTAACGGCTTGTGGAAAACGCACTTTTTCATTACTTTATTAAGTCACAGAGGATTTCCTCAAGTCAGTCAAGAGTGCTGCTCTGGATGATGTTTTAAACGCCCTTAAATATTTCAATTAAGAACCAGCCTTCTAGAATCCCCAAAGAATAAGGGAAGCTGCTGGTTCAACACTTTCAAAATGAATTTTAAATCCCACCGCCAGTGTTAGCAGTTCTTGCACACAAATCTTTTTGTGTTCTGCTTCTTTGCAAGCCGAACATTTAAATCTATAATCTTTGCACCCAAGCCGTTCCCCACTGCATTTCGGCACTTCCAAGTAGAAAAACCAGAGTACAGCATAGCAGGATGCTGAAGTCCGCCTTAGCTTTATGCCCAAAAATCAGGTGGCTACTGCACCTTAAGGAAGTACCTGTTCAGTCTCTGCTTGAAGATTGACAGCAGTGGCTAAATGGCCCCACTGCTAAAACTCCTCGACAGGATGTTTTTCTCAACTTTCAGAACCAATTAACAAATAAATCCTGGGTCTTCATGGGAGACTACAAGAATTTGTCCCATCGTGTGTTGACCTTCTGTTCACTGGACTAAGCCAGACAGTTACTTTACCTCTTCTCATAAAAGTATGCTTTCCATACTGCTGACTCTTTATCTTTATGCTCTGTGTTTATTTAAATTTGTCTACATCATTTTTAAAGTGCAACTGTGGGCACCAGAATTATGAGAAATGTATCTTTGTTTATAAAACTGTACAATGCCTTCAACATGCAGAGAAGAAATGAACATTAACTGTGAAGGAAATACACTTTTTCAAAGTTCTAGTAACTTAAAGATAAGAACTTATTCAAAGGGGTTTGGGTAAAAATCTAAGGAAGGGGAGACCAAACATTTGTGATGATGTGCACCTAGCGGAAGACCTGCATAATGGGCAAAAGACAGAACTTTCAGGAGAGGGGGGGGATTAAAGGAGATTTCAATTATTTGCACATCTGCTCAAAAACCAGCTCATGCATGACTGCAAAGTCCTTAAATGGGCTTTTGTTTTCCAGAAGGCCAGAGAGAAGACAAGGGCATGGCTTCTCCTCAGTCTGATCCTAATCAAAAGGAAGAGTTGGCAGAAGAGGAAAAAACAGTGACATCATCTTGGGGTTCAAGATATTATATGGTGAGAAAATAGAGCACAGCCATATACCTGCACATTAGATTGCAGGAGACCAACAACTTTAGAGAAATACCAGGCAGGATCCCATGGACAACATTTCTCAGATAAAGGGAGCGCAAGAGAACATCTCAAAACAAAGATGCAACTAGCAGGCAGCTCAGGAACCCACCCAAGATGCTGAAGGAGCTTTGGACAGAATCCTGCAAGTCTGAAGCCCCTTCTTTCATTCAATCCTCCCTCCCATTATCTTCAAGAGACCCAAGGAGGGTCTTGTCTGAGACCTTTTGCAGGTTTCAGTTCCGGCCCAGGCTCAGATTTCTTCTCTCTGACCATTGTCTTGTTGACAACTCTTCCTCCTGTTCCTCAAGGTCAGGAGTCTCCAAGCATGGCAACCTTAAGACTTGTGGACTTCAACTGGCCATGCTGGCTCAGGAGTTCTGGGGGCTGAAGTCCACAGGTCGTCGAGTTGCTCTGGTTGCCCACCCCTAGCTAGCAGTCAAGGACGCAGCTAGACACCGGGAGAGGGTGCGTCCCAGTCCTGCCTTAGCCAGTTGGGTGACTCTGTGCCAGACCTTCTCTCTTAGCCCAAGACATCAGGCTCAGATGACAAGCCAGTCACTCCTCTTCCTTACTCAACCAATGGATCAATACTTGACTGGTCAAGCAAACAAACAAACAAAAGGCAGACCCTGCACTTGTGGGAAAAACACTAAGGAGGGGGGGAAAAACACGCTTAGAGAAATCCCAGGCAGGATCCCATGGACAGAATTTCTCAGATAAAGGGAGTGCAAGAGAACCTCTCAAAAGGAAGATGCCGATGACCAATGAGGGAGAAACCGGCAGGCAGCTCAGGAACCCACCCAAGAGGCTGAAGGAGCTTTGGGCCAAAGGGAGAAGGAGACGGGTGTAAATCCCAAGGAAGCCTGTCAGGCAGCAGCTAATGCAGGAAGTCGGAGCCCCTGAAGGGCCAAAGGAGCAGAGCTCACAAGGGAAGCCCAAAGCAATAAAAGGGAGGGGTGGGCGGCTGCTAAGAGGGGAAGGCAGGATGGGGAGAGGGCACAATTCCTAGGTAGCTTCCGGCTTCTCCTCTGGGGGGGGGAATTGCATTCAAAGGGCTCATAGTAGGATGGTGGACAAAAGGAGGGAGTGGTAAAGAAAAGGCAGTAAAGGGATGTTGTGGTGTCCCGACTGCTGCAAATGGGCTCAGGGCTCCAAAATCAGATCATTCAAGAGGCACAAAGGGACCCATGGGGGCTGTCTTGGAGGACTTTTGGGTGGCATCTGAGGAAGCATGGAAGACTGGAGCATCAGAGGTTCAGAGAAGGCAAAAGCTGCCCCACTTTCGAAAAAAGGGGGGGGAGAAGGGAGAGCAAAGCACCATCCAGCTCCACGTGATTCCTGGCCAAAACTCTGGATCCGATGACTAAGCAGTAGGTTTGTGTGCACTGAGAAAAGAATGCATCGTTTGCCGAAAGCCAGTGAGGGTTTACAAAGAGTAAATCCTGCCAAACCGACCTGATCTCCTTCTCTGATAGTGACCACTTTAGCTAACCCAGGAATGCAGCACGCGCAACGTGTTTTAATTTTGGGAAAGCATTCGACCCGTGGGACTCCAGCAGAGACGACCACAAATGCAGGCTGGACTAGCCTATCAGAAGATGGAGCAGGACCACAATACCTCGTGCAAGTCTAGATCAGTGGGCCCAGGTCAAGCTGGAAAAGAGTGGAGGAGCCCTGGTAACTCCGGCCTAGAGCCCGAAGCGACGGGGTAACATTCGGAAGCAGCTCAGGGAGACACATCCCTAATTCGCTGAACTGGAACAGGATGGAGAAGGTGCACGGCACAGACTTGCAAAACTTTTATTATAGACTTTTGTAGCCATTCCTAGTAAAAGTAGTTTTAGTCTTCCCACGGAGTTGATTTCCTGGCCTGGTCCCCTTAATGGGCTTATTTATAAATGGACCCAGGCAAGAGGTTAGAGAAGAGGACCACAGGTAGTCCTTGACTTACGACCACAATGGAGCTCAAAATTTCCATTGCTAAGCAAGAAATTTGTTAACTGAGCTTTGCTCCATTTTATGACCTTTCTTGCCACAGTTGTTAAGTTAGCGACACGGCTGTCAAGTGGATCTGGCTTCCCCACTTGACTTTGCTTGCCAGAAGGTCGCGAAAGGGGGTCACGTGACCCCAGGACGCTGCAGCTGTCATAAGTATGAGTCGGTTGCCAAGTGTTTGAATTTTGATCACATGACCACGGGGATGCTGCAATGCTCGTAAGTGTGAAAAAAGGCTGTAAGTCACTGTTTTCAGTGCCTCTGTAACTTTGGTCACTAAACGAATTGTTGTAAGTTGAGGGCTACCTGTATTAGATTTGCAGCAACAGAAAGATAGAAAATACCTTAGAGAACAATCAGTTGGAACACTGGGCAAACAAAAACCAGATGAATTTCAACAAGGACAAATGATATAAAGTTAAGGTTACTCCTATGCTTTTATATGGAGCAGAGGTTTGGAGTACATACCCAATTACAACACTTGAACAAACACAGTCCCAGCA